CAATTCTCCCGCCTCAGCCTCCTAAGCAGCTGGGACTACAGACTCTGCTAAATTTTGTATTTTTAGTAGAGATTGAGTTTCAGTATATTGGCCAGGCTGTTCTCAAACTCCGGACCTCAGGTGATCTGCCCACCTCGGCCTCCCAAACTGTTTAGCTTATAGGTGTGAGCTACCACGCCCAGCCCCTGGGGATAAGTGTGTTAACTTTTTACTAGCCAGGTTTACTATCCTGGTAAGGAGATTCCAGGGGCTTTCACTTGAATCCTTCTAGGATCACAGCTCTTACTCAACGGGTCATAGTGCCAGTTGAGAGATTCTGCCATTTTTCATGTATGTTTATTTCAATGATATATCAGGTACTCAGAAAATAATCGCAGGTTGGTTTCATGGCCCTGTTCACCCACTGTAATTTAAACTTTGCTCAAGACAGCTTTGATCAACTGACCACCATTAGCCCTGACTTTCACTGGTAGGTCATAGTAATTAGTGTCAATTCAGAACCCATGTTTAGTAATCCCTGTGAGAAATGGGTGTTTTCTTTTTCCTAGTACACAATCCTTCAAGTATATGGCAAGAGGTTCCTTTGGGGAAGGCTCAAAGAATACTCATAAGCATGCATATGCGGTACTGCTTCAGGGTCCTTCCTCAGGGGGACCTGGCCTCTCCTTCAATCCAAGAGTCTTTGGATCTGGGAGTCATCTTCGTACTGGAAGCTGGGTGACAGGCATGACTCTCCATGGTGATGAGTCGAGTCCATTTTTTGGCTACCAGGTCTGGAGTTTTTCCGGTTACATACTTCAAGGAACATTTTAGTAGGCTGCCTATCTATTTCATTCTTAGGGACAGTGTAGTCAAAAATCCCTTAATACTACTACTGCCCTACTGCCTTTTATTGTAAATAGCTGTCTGGTAATTAAATGCTGCTACCTGCCCTCTGCTGCCCCAGAATTCCATTATTCCCACTGAAACCAGGGACCACGTCTGTGGTGGTGGGATCTCTCACCATCACGTCTTGTTACATGAGCCACCACGGAGCTTTTCAGATTTGCAGATGCTCCCTTGCTTAGAGCCTTCATAAGGGAAGAAGTGGCTTTTGGGCCCAGAGCATGGCATTGGGAGGTGAGTGAGGAGGCCGGATGTGATCAATCCACCCACACATTCCTATCTCCCTGAGCCTTTGGATATCTGCATACACATTATGCCAGGGAAATTCTGGCATCTGTCTCATTAAATAGAGGCCAGCATGAGCCCCCATCCTGTCAACCAACCAAGTAAACTGTAGAGCCACTTTCAGTGTGGCCGTTATCCATCATCTGTCAGCTCTGCGGCAATGGGCTGGGCTCTCCAGGCATTCATTTCTCCTTACAAGCAGGATGCAGAGCTGTCAATAGGGGGTGCTGGAAGGACACTGCAGGTGAAAGAGGCCTCTTCCTTGCTCCAATGTGCTGCTTTGCTTATTCTTGCTCTTGCTTCATGGGCCACCAGCGGCATGGGGACATCTAGTCCTGCTCTGCCCAAACATGTGCTCTGCCCAGTATGCACAACTGCTTTATGACTTCACAGTCCTAGCCCAATAACCATGTCACTATAGTCTTCCCAATATGGACACTGGCTTATTCCAGGTCTCATGCCAGCAGTACCACCCTGATGCACTCTTGAGCACCTGCCTGCCGGCCTGTTTGCCTGTGCTGAGGGTGGTTTCCTGGGGCCCTCTGGAAATGGCTAGGCTGCACACCACCCTGACAAACGGGGGCCCTGCCTTCCTGTGCAATTTTACCCACCAGCCTCGGATTGCCTGTGCCCAGGAGAGTTGTTTACTGCTGCCTGGGGACATGGACTACCCTTGGCCTGGCCTGGCCAACTCGGAGACCCTCCCCAATAGCCAGTGGCTGCAACCACACCTACTTCGACCAGGTCTGAACCTAGGGAGGAGCCTCCCTTCTGAAGAAGGAAATTAAATAATAGCAATAATAGGAAAACAAAACCTTATAATTTGGAGTTGCTATATAATAAAGCAAATTTTGCTGTGTTGTGTGCTGTTTAATACAATGCCTCCCCAGCTCTGTTTAAGGCAGAATAACTCCCTTCCTGCAAACCAGTAAACCTTATCTATGCTCTCCACATTCTTAGCACAGTTCCCAGGCATCTAAAAAGTCCTGATTTTCTTGCTAACCAGCTGCAAGGTCACAAAGCAAATAAACTCAAAACAGTGAAATGTTTCTCAAAATGTTACTTTTCAAATGTAAAGTACATCACATCATATGTCACAAATTAATTCATCTTTGTTCTGGTTTCTGTAAGCTTGTTTTCTGCTTCATCATTCTGTACCACCGAGGTGTATAAAAGGCACCCCATTTTCTTTGTCCTTTGCTCAAAATTAAAAAGCATTTCTGCTAAGCCCGTAATCACGTTAAATAAAATCTCTAATTTCCCGCCACACTTCCCTGAGTACGCTCTTCAGTCCTGGGTACCTTGTAGAGTTCTCTTCATGTCTTTATAGTCTACCTTGTCCTCTCTACTACTGTAAAGAGAACTCCCCGGCAGTTCAGTAAGTCTTTATATTAAACTTTCCTCATCCAAACAAGTGTGTAGTTTGTTTCCAGACTGATACAATGAGATTAAACATTAAATCCAGACTCTCCAAGGGCACCCAAATAAGCAATGAAGCATTATGCAGTCCCTGTAGTCAATTGCTGTAATGGCTCACATGCAATCACGGTGGAAAGTCCTTTAGCAAATGCTCAAATCTTGCTCAATCTGGAAGAATCTAGAGAAAAACCCTATGAATGTAAATAAGTTGGAAAAGGCCGCTAAGCAACTTATTAACTTATTCAACACCACTGGATTCATATTGGAAAGAAACTTTCCGAATGTAGTCAAATGTGGACAGGGATTTAGCTGAAGCCCAACATTTAGCCAACATTGCAGAATTCATACCAGAGAGAAACCTTATAGATGTGAGAAATATGAAAAGGTCTGTGAGGACTTTTTTTTTTTTTTGAGATGGAGTCTCACTCTGTCAGCTGCGATCTTGGCTCACCGCAACCTCCACCTCCCAAGTTCAAGCAATTCTCCTGCCTCAGCCTCCTGAGTAGCTGGGATTACAGGTGTATGTCACCATGCCCAACTCATTTTTTTTGTATTTTTACTGGAGATGGGGTTTCACCATGTTGGGTCAGGCTGATGTCGAACTCCTGACCTAGTGATCCGCCCGCCTTGGCTTCCCAAAGTGTTGGGATATAGGTGTGAACCACCGAGCCCAGGTGGGACCGCTCTTCTTTAACAAACTCATGGGAGCAACGGAGAGAAACTTTTTGAATGTAGCAAAGAATTTTAGCCAAGTTCAGCCCTTATTCAATTCCAGAGAATTCACATTTTAAGGAAATCGAAGATTGAAGATATAATGTCAAGCAGCAGGAAGAAATAATCAGAAATGTATTTATATATTTCATAAACGCGATAACCTTTGCCATGCCAACCAAACACATACGGCTAAAGGGATTCAACCAACTATCTGAAATCTGCTAAGGCAGTGATTTTATCAAGATTATTGGAGAAAGGTAAGCTCAGAGAAAACTGGCAGCATGTAATAACAAGACTTCATTTGGTTGAGAGCATTCATAGCTCACTTTCACTGGATGAACAGGAACTCTTCAAAAATTAACTACTGCAATACCACATATACAAGAGGGTTATTTGTGTGTGTGCATATGTGTAGCTTCAAAACAGACCTGACTAGGTATAAATCATAGTAAAAAAGGGCCTGAAATACAGGTGAAATACTGCAATAGACAGCTGTTTCTGGGTGGCAGAATCACAGAATTAATTTTTAAAATTTTTTTCTTGAGACAAAGTCTTGCTCTGTCACCCAGGCTGGAGTGCCGTGGCACGCTCTCGGTTCACTGAAACCTCTGCCTCCCAGCTTCAAGCGATTCTCCTGCCTCAGCCTCCTGAGTAGCTGGGACTACAGGCACCCACCACCATGGCCAGGTCGTTGTATTTTTAGTAGAGACGGGGTGTCACCATGTTGGTCAGGCTGGTCTCCATCTCCTCACCTCGTGAACCGCCCACCTCGGCCTCCCAAGTGATGGGATTGTAGGCATGAGCCACAGTGCCCGACCAGAATTTTAGAATTTCAGTGCTTTCCAGTGAGTAAGAAATTAAGTCTACCAAAGTTCCCATCACACTCTACATATTGTATATCCTGGGATTTCTGCTGTCAAAAACACACACCAGCTTGGCCCATGAAGGCATATATTTGCAACCACCTAAAAATATATGGAAAACTAGGCTGAGAAAAATACTTGAGGGAAACCAATGCCATGCATAACGCCCGTATATCACTTTAGAACTTGGCTTACTGGGCAAAAGAGAGGACTTTGCTGAAAATATTTGACTAACTGTAAGATTATGCTTCATGGTCCCAGAAAAAACAATTACTACTACGTATTGTACACTTACTGTATGTCAGGCACTGGGCCAGGAACTTTTTATGCTTGATCTTTTCTTTTTTGAGACAGAGTCTCACTCTGTTGTCCAGGCCAGAGTGCAATGGCATGATCTTGGTTCACTGCAACCTCTGTCTCTGGGTTCAAGTGATTCTCCTGCCTCAGCCTTCCGAGTAGCTGCGATGCCACCATACCAGGCTAACTTTTATATTTTTTAGTAGAGACAGAGTTTCACCATGTTGGCCAGGCCGGTTTCAAACTCCTGACCTTGAGTGATCCACCCGCCTTGGCATCCCAAAGTGCTGGGATTACAGGCATTAAGCCACCACGCCTGGCCTGCCTGATCTTACTTAACCCTCATAGCAAGTCCATGAGCTATTTCTACACTCCTTTTAGAGAGTAATGTTTGGGAACTCTCAGTCCAGGCTGTAGAGCTGTGGAGATGGTTTCCTGTTCTTTATTTCTCCTTTCGTCTTTTAAGATAAACCTTTATCAACTAAAGTTACTGAAGTTTATGCTGCTCCTTGCAACCTGAAAGCCTAACACAGCTTGAATAGTTTCTATAACATTTATTGTAAAAAGTTCAAGAAGCCACTTACAAGCCAAAAAGTATCAGAATAGCATAATTTTTATAGACACATTTTTCTGTACAAAAGGTTAATCTTCATAGCAATTTTAAATAAATAATCTAAAAATCAACGTCACTGATTGCAAAATAGGTCTCTTGACTGTCTCAAGGTGACATGCTTTCTATGTAGCCAAAAGATGAGGGGTTTGACACCTGTGACGAGCCTGGGCAGTGAGTCTCTGGCGAAGATTTCTCACTTTCTCGATAAGATTTGGTCCTGAGGTGTCCCATTCTACTGCTCTTCGATTTAAAGAAACTTGAAAATAAAATTTAAAATTAAGAAAAGATGAGTTTTCTGATGTTAGTAATGACATAGCATTTATTTTAAAGATAAATGTGTTATAAAAATAAATAATGAAATGAAATTCTAAAAACCTGAATTTTATGTATTACCTGGCCCTAGGTGGTTCCATTTGCAAGCCAAATATTTATTTGTTGAACTGAATGAATGCTAACAGAGAACATCTCTGCTTTTGAAACATTTGGGATACAAACAGTCTTAAATTAGAATCAAACCTTGATTAAGAGAATTTGAGGTTTTGCAATGGTAAGCTTCCTCACAACAATGCTTAATGGTAATGAGAAAAGGCATTCCAATCATAATACTGTGACATATATACCATGACTACCTTTCCAATAAGTAAAACTAAATAAACCAAATGCTTTTTAATATTGGCTAATATCAGGAAGGTCCAGAATCAAGATTAAAATACGGCAATATGTCCAAGTGTAAGAGTGTTACTGATTTAGAGGGGCTAGTGAACAGGATCTTTTTTAAGCCTTTAAAAATATACTTCTTGAAATTTAGTTACATACTCAGTCAGTTCAATTTCTGAAAAACTGTTTTTCCTCCTAAAGGAATACAACTTTTTTTTTTTGAGGTGGAGTTTTTCGCTCTTGTTACCCAGGCTGGAGTGCAATGGCACGATCTCGGCGCACCGCAACCTCTGCCTCCTGGGTTCAGACAATTCTCCTGCCTCAGCCTCCTGAGTAGCTGGGATTACAGGCACGCACCACCATGCCCAGCTAATTTTTGTATGTTTAGTAGAGACGGGGTTTCACCATGTTGACCAGGATGGTCTCGATCTCTTGACCTCGTGATCCACCTGCCTCGGCCTCCCAAAGTGCTGGGATTACAGGCTTGAGCCACTGCGCCCGGCCTGGAATACAACTTTTATGCTTTTGTGTTTTGCTGCCAAATAACGTAAGCTTACCAAATAATCATTTTAAAATTTAGAATTAAGTTTTGATATGACAGAATAGAGAACAGCAGAGAATCTCTATTACTTCATTTGACTGTTGAATGATTTTTGGTTTAATTCATAGAATTTATAGATGCATATAAAAGTATGAGTAGGCAAAAATATTTTACACACACTGGAATCTCATGACCCGATATTAGGTATATTTCTTATAAAGTTCTTCTGTTTGGGACACTGTGTAAAAGTTTGTTCTTCTAAAAGAACTCAGAAGATTCTGTTAAATTCTGTTTCATCTATATGGCAGTTTTACTGAAAAAATTAGTTAGTTGAAAGAAAGTTTAGGCTGGGCACGGTGGCTCACAGCTGTAATCCCAGCACTTTGGCAGGCTGAGGCAGGAGGACCACAAAGTCAGGAGTTCAAGGCCAGCCTGGCCAACATGGTGAAACCCCATCTCTACTAAAAACAAAAATTACCTGGGAGAGGTGGTGTACACCTATAATCCCAGCTACTTGGGAGGCTGCAGCAGGAGAATTGATTGAACCCAGGAGGTAGAAGTTGCAGTGAGCTGCAATTGTGCCACTGCATTCCAGCCTGGGCGACAAAGCGAGACTCTACCACAAAAAAAAAAAAAAAAAAAAAAAAAAGTTTAACAGAGTATCTTGTCTCCTCCCTCCTCCCCTATAAAAATAAAGACTACACTTCACTGGAAAGCTTATTAGCATCTTCATGGATGGCCTAAGGCTGTGACTACATTTCTATAAGATGTTTCTACCCTGTCCCTTCTAAAAAACCCAAAACCCTCCAATGAACCAGGTGGAGGGATCAGAAATCAGCTTATCAGCATCAAGCCATGTGCCTTTGGCAGTTCTACTGCTCGTGGGGCCCAGAATTCCACTGGAGCGCCCAGCGCAGACACGTGTTTTCAATGGTTGTGGAAGGGAGCCCAGCCCAGATGAACAGTCAAGAAAATTCAACTGTGCAATAGCTTGGAAAAACAACGCTGAGATTTTCTTTTCACAAGGATGTCAGAATAGCTATGAATCTCATATTATCGATTTAGTTAGCCAGAGACTTCTGTGAGAGCCTCCAATGACTATGTTTTTGGGCAACCATGCTGGCGCTCATGAAATGGGGAGGTGTTAGTGGTGTTTTCTTTACTCGGAATTTGGTCTGCACCCAGTCTTCCCACTGGGAAATTTGAGAGAATCTTGCTGCCTTCATTTTAGGATTTTCATTATCAGTGCCCTGGGAAAATGGCATCCACATGCTATACATATAATTTAGGCCTCTATTTTGCTTGAATATTGTTACATTTAAAATGACAGAATAAAACCTTTGCTTATCAACTTACTCTGTGCTGAGGGATCCATTTCAGAAGTGTCATTTAGTTGTGATGTTCTAGGTAAACAGCTTGAGTCCTCCTGTTCATTATGGAACCTGGACTTTTCTGTTGTAAGAGTGAGGAGATAATGATGAGGTCTGGGAGGGAGAAGAAAGGCTGATTCCAAATGGTTCCTAGTAAATTAAAGTCACCAAGGATGGAAAAAAAAACACTCTCTTTTCTAATCTAAGAAGAATGCTGTCAACATTCAAAAGGCAAGGAGTGTCATTAGTGAGAATTAAGGGCTGAGCTGGTTTCTGTAACGTACCTTTTTTTTTTTTTTTGAGACGGAGTCTCACTCTGTCGCCCAGACTGGAGTGCAGTCGGCTCACTTCAACCTCCATCTCCTGGGTTCAAGTGATTCTCCTGCCTCAGCCTCCTGAGTGGCTGGGATTACAGGTGCATGTACCACCACACCCAGCTAATTTTTGTATTTTTAGTAGAGATGGGGTTTTACCATGTTAGCCAGGATGGCCTCAATCTCCTGACCTTGTGATCCTCCTGCGTCAGCCTCCCAAAGTGCTGAGATTACAGACGTGAGCCACTGTGCCCGGCCCTCTGTAATGTACTTTAAAAATACTTTCAGCTAAAACAAAAAGCCAACAAACTCAAAAAGATAGATGTTAGGATATAGATGATGAAATGTGATTAGCAGGGCTTCTCTGGACACTTGTGAGCTGATCACTATTGGCTTTAGCTAGGCAGGGCCTCATCACAACACATAGCAAATCAGAGCCAGCCACAGGCAAATTTTAACCGAAACCTTCTTAGAGTGCCAGGCAGGGCAGTGCCCTAGCAGCTAGCAGTGCCTTCCCCTACTTTCATCAATTACTCTCCTAATCTCAAAACTTATACTCACCCTCAGCTGTGTTTCACTGTTCCCTAACTCCTACAGCAGCACATCCAATATGATGGCAAGGTGTTTTTTAAAAAAACATGTGCATCCTGACATTGCTTATAATGGTCCTTCCTTTTCACTCCTATCACTAGCGTTTAAGGCTCCATGCGCCAAGCCCAGAATGCTGGGAGTCTCATCGACTCAGTAAGATGCTTGCCTTTTACTTCTCTGAAAAGCTTCAGCTAATGGTTTTAACTCATAGTTTTAGCTCAATAAGTCACTAAGGTAATGTGACTAATCACCAAATGACTAATTTAAACTGGTGGGGACTGGAATCTAAGAGTCATCTTCAGACATCTGGAGGGCTGAGACATGGCAGAGGTAATAAACATCAACTGCAATCTGCATTGTTTCAGAGGAAAAGAGAAAAGAAAAAGTAGGTTCAACTCTTTTACATAAGAAATAACTTTTGTTTTTTTTAAGATGGAATCTCGCTCTGTCACCCCAGGCTGAAGGGCAGTGGCATGATCTCAACTCACTGCAACCTCGACCTCCTGGGTTCAAGCGATTCTCCTGCCTCAGCCTCCTGAGGAGCTGCGATTACAGCATGGAGCACCATGCCCAGCTAATTTTTTTTGAGATGGAGTTTCTCTCTTGTTGCCCAGGCTGGAGTGCAATGGCGCGATCTTGGCTCACTGCAATCTCCACCTCCTGGGTTCACGCAATTCTCCTGCCTCAGGAGAATATATAAAATATATACCAGATCCAGATCTGCAGAAGGTGACTGCTACAAAGAGAGACACTGTCATTTTCTGAGGAATCAGTTTCTGAAAATAATTTACATGAAGGCTGTAAGACATAACATGCTAATTAGAATTCCCTCTTCTTGGGTTATTCTTTCATGTTCTTTCATTTTCCAGTATAAGAATCTACTTAGGAAAAGCTGCTAAGAACTTAGCTGTAACTTCGAATGGTACATAACTTTATTACTTTGAATGGTGGCTAACTGAGAGATAGACTATTTCAGAGAACTAAAGGCATTCTAGACTCAGAGAACAGCCAACAATTAAAAATTGGAAAGACTGATCAGGCACAGTTATACTATACATATAACATATTATACAGATATGTTACACACACACACACACACACACACACACACACAGAGCAGGTCCTCAAATAATGTCATTTTGTTCAATGTCATTTCATTGTAACATTTCTGAGAAAAAAGTTGATTCCTGTCTGGGCCACCGTCGTGTGGAGTCAGCACGTGTTCCCCGTGTCTGGGCCACTGTCTGGTGGAGTCAGCACGTGTTCCCCGTGTCTGGGTCACCGTCGTGTGGAGTCAGCACGTGTTCCCCGTGTCTGCGCTGTTTTTTCTAGATGCTCGGCTTTGCGCCCACATCCAAAGGATACAAACATTCAGTTCGTTGGCGTGTTTAGATTGTCCCAGTGTGAGGGGGTCTGCGTGTGCCCTGTGATGAGAGGGCATTCTGCCCAGCGCTGGCTCCTGCCTTGTGCCCTGAGCTGCTGGGACAGGCTCTGGTCATGGACAGGCTTTGGCCATGACCCTGAACTGGAGTAAATGAATACATCATTATCTTACTTGTTTTTATTAATCTTTCTTAAATGTATGCATTGCTCACATTTATTTCAACATTTAATATTAGAAGTACTTTAGGCTGGGCATGGTGGCTCACGCCTGTAATCCCAGCACTTTGGGGGAGGCCGAGGTGGGTGGATCACCTGAGGTCAGAAGTTTGAGACCAGCCTGGCCAACATGACGAAACCCCATCTCTACTGAAAATACAAAAATTAGCCAGGCATAGTGGAACACGCCTGCAATCCCAGCTACTCTGGAGGCTGAGGCTGAGGCAGGAGGATCACTTGAACCTGGGAGGCGGAGGTTGCAGTGAGCTGTGATTGCACCACTGCACCACAGCCTGGGCAATAGTGACACTCCATCTCAAAAAAAAAAAAAAAGTGCTTTCGTCTTTATTTAGAAGTTTGGTGATGTTCTTGTGACCAGCAATATGCTATAGAACCGACTCCTATTCCTATCAACTGACCTACAGTAAAACTGGTTTTGTTATATACTGTTTTGCCTAATGCCACAGTTTCTAAGAACCTACCATGATGTTGTGTGACGACTTACGATATGTATTTTAAGGGCCCATAGGTGATTTTTATTATTTTAAATTAGTATTTATTTACTGAATTGGTATTTCATGTACCACAAAATTCAAAGGGAACAAAAACATACAAACTAAATTTCTCTCCCTCTCTTGAGCCCTGGCACCACGTTCCTTACTCAGGAGGCAAGCCCTAAACTGGTGTCCTCTACAGGTCACTCTGCTGTGCAGCCAGGTTGAGTAGCACTGGCAAACAGATGTGGTCCAATTCCTCAGCCTGGCATTAAGGTCCCTATCAGCTGTCTCCTCCAGTGGTATCTACAGCCATCCTTGTACAAAGCTGTCTGATCCAGCTGGCCTAACCTATATCACCATCGCAGGCAACTTTCTGCTATCGTTTCATTACATCTAATACATTTCCTCATGAGCAAGCAGAAGCAGAGTTCACTGGAGGTCAGGTGTTCAAGACCAGCATGACCAACACGGTGAAACCCCGCTCTACTAAAAATACAAAAATTAGCCAGCCATGGTGGCATTGGCCCATAATCCCAGCTACTTCGGAGGCTGAGGCAGGAACATGACTTGAACACTGGAGGTGGAGGTTGAGGTGAGATGAGATTGAGCCACTGTACTCCAGCCTGGGAGACAAGAGCAAAACTTGGTCTCAAAAAAAAAAAAGAAAAGAAAAAAGGTGAATTATAGGGCATGTGAACTATGTATCAATTATTTTAAAAAGCAAGGTATATACATTATAAAAGGCGGAAACAAAATAAAACATAGTAAACACAGTAAAATAAAAGCTCCCTGTTAACTGTACTCTAGAATTTGATGGAATTTTATTTTATTTTATTTTTTTTAAAGAGACAAAGTCTTGTCTGTTGCCCAGGCTGGAGTGCAGTGGCCTGGTAATAGCTCAGTGCAGCCTCAAACTCCTGTGCTCAAAGGGATCCTCCCACCTCAACCTCCAGAGTATTTTAGAGTTTTAAATCATAATTTTGATTTTTCAGTTGGTGCCTCTATAAGCCTCGTACTGAAACCCAGTGTTGGATAAGATCCTATGAGAAGCTCCCATGTGGTACTTGCATACACTGTTGTTCTGAGGCCCAGCTTTTGGAAAAGCACATAGTTACCCCGGAGCAACAGAATCAGACAGAACTCCACAGAACAGTCTGCATGGGCTTCTTCCTCGATTAGGATTCCATTTTTCTAATAGCCCCACCTCAGCCCACCCTTTCCTACCAAAAATACGGTAACCAGTGATTACCTTTTACTTGAGCAGTAAATTGAATACAAGTGCCAAATACATCCCAATAATTTGTTCACTGGCCAGGCACAGTGGCTCACACCTATAATCCCAGCACTTTGGGAGGCCAAGGTGGGAGGATAGTTTGAACCCTGCAGTTTGAGACCAGCTTGGGCAACATAGTGAGATCTCATCTCTACAAATAATTCAACAAATTAGCTAGGTAGGGGGTTGCATGCCTATGGTCCCAGCAACTTGGGAGGCTGAGGTGGGAGAATTCCTTGAGCCCAGGAGGTTGAGGCTGCAGTGAGCCGTGATTGTGCCACTACATTCCAGCCTGGGTAATAGAACAAGACTCTGTCTCAAAAAAAAAAAAAAAAAAAAAATCATCATAATAAAAAACCCTACTAACAGAATAAATCTGTAACACCATGGAGAGAAAGGCCTCTCACTCACCTTTATGACATAGATTGTCAGCATGTTCAACAGCTGCATTTATCTCTTGCTTTAAAAACCACTTTCTAGATGCATCTGAAAGAGCAGAAGCTTTCTTTGCCGATCTCAAATCGAACTCTTTTCCTTCAGCTTCCTTCCACTAAATTCAAATAAATGGGAAAAAAATTACATAAAAAGTGTAGTAATACACATCTCGCAGAAGAATGAGTCCCTTCTGTCTTCTCTGTCCACTTTCCTTTAAATTCCCACGGCAGGTAGGATCTGTTTGGTGTTACAGTAATTGGGGAGCCTGTGTTGGCCCAAAGCTATAAAGAGCCTTGAAAGCAGAGGCAGGTTTTATCCACCTCCCAGTATGGCAGAGTGCCACGAAGCTCACAACTACATCCCCATAGTTGCTGAAATAATAATACATTTCAATAAGTTTCAAATCTTATGAGACTAAGCTAGTTTTGTATTAGTGGCAATCGCATTTTATTTAATTAAATCCAACTCCTAAAGTTTGCTAATATTCTTGAAAAGCTACAGTTTTTACATGAAAACACATACTTTTTATATAATAGAAATACTAATGCATTAAATACCAAAAACTTAAAAACACATCACAAAATAGGAGGACAAGGAAGGAACACAGAAATCCATCCCTTTCATGTTACTGATGAGGGGGCTGAGTCTGAGCACTTTCCCAAGGCCACATCATAGTCAAGTTAGCTTTAGATACAGGACATTAGACACAAGGAAGCATTTCTGCAGAATATGAAAGGTCCTTACAATGATTCTCAGTCAACTCTGAAAAGTACCATTTTACCCAAAGTCCAGCAGCAGTGACTTTCACACAGTCTAGCCCTAGTGTCAGCAATGCTTATGTGACGATGTAATAATTTATTATTATTATTATACCCCCGTTTTCCTGAGGAGAACAGCCTCAGAGTTCGGGATACTACCTCCACCCTCTCCAAGCCCTTCATTCCTGTCCTAGAATGAAAGGGTTATAAAATAAGGCCCTGTGCCACCAGAATGGGGTAGGAGGAAAATGAATCTGGAATAGTGACTTGAAGGAAATACACTGTAAGAAGCCAGCTTTCAGAATAGACATTGTGACACGGCAACAGAAAGAACCAATTAAGCCAGGTATCTAGATCTTGATCTTTCCCCAGCTCTTCAGTGTCGTTACAAAAATCCATGGTACCTGCAATAATATCTCCAGAGCATAGATCCCAGGGCCTTTGGGAGGGTAAACCAAAAGATACACATGTGTGACACACGCCTCCTCCTCGAACTCCATTCTTCGATTCTTCTTTAGGAATAAAATCTTTTTATTTTTAGCTACCTTATTAACTAATAGGAATAGAATCTTAATTTTATTTGGGATGATAATGTGCCCTGCGAAGAATACTATTTTTCCCAGCATCCTTTGCAGACAAAGGTGGTTCGAAGTATGATACAGAACTCCTGGAAAGAAGTGAAAAGGGAATTTGGCTCAAATGGGAGGCAGAACATTCACACTTGTGCTCTCCCTCCACCCTGCTGTGTGGAATGTGAATGTGATGGCTGGAACTGCAGGAGTCATCTTGGATGAAAATGAAAGCCGTACACTAAGAAGTGGTGCAGAATGGTTGAAAGGAGCCATTTCCCTGGAGCCACAATATACACCATGGACTGCCTCCCTCCAGACTATATTTTTATCCTGTTCATAGTCACTGTAATTTTGGGTTTTGTTTCTAGCAGCTACATACAATTTCTACTTACTCAAAATCTTCTACATTGTAAGTATAAAGAATTAGCTAGGCCAGGTGTGGTGGCTCACGCCTGTAATCCCAGCACTTTGGGAGGCTGAGGTGGTGGGTGGATCACGAGGTCAGAAGTTTGAAACCAACCTGGCTGGTGAAACCCCATCTCTACTGAAAATACAAAAATTAGCTGGGTGTGGTGGTGGGCACCTATAATCCCAGCTACTCAGGAGGCTGAGGCAGGAGAATTGTTTGAACCCAGGAGGCAAAGGTTGCAGTGAGCCAAGATCACACCATTGCACTCTAGCCTGGGTGACAGGGTGAGATTCTGTCTCAAAAAAAAAAAAAAAAATTAGCTAAATTAAAGTATTAATATTATTCAATCAGCCAGAACAAAAATCCAGGAAGTTGACAAATTGAGGTAAATGAGAAAGATGTTTAATCATTTTCAGATAGAATCAGTATTAGACAACTTTTCTGACAAACATCTATTAAAATCAGATTATCTTTTCCAGCAAAAACTACTTGGTTTGATGCTTTTCTCATCTGACTCTGCACTATTTCAAAATTTCAGTGCTTAGGCTGGGCGTAGTGGCTGACGTCTATAATCCCAGCACTTCGGGAGGCCGACGCAGGAGGATCACTTAAGACCAGGAGTTGGAATTTTGAGGCTATACAACAAAGTGAGACCCTGTCTCTTAAAAAAAAAAAATCAATGCTTCATATAATAAAAGGTTTATGACACTATTCTTACCTTCTTGGCTTCCTCCTCCACCATTGCATGTAATAGCTCTATTTCTTTCCTTCTGTTTTCCCTAAGGAGTTTGGCTACTTCCTGGTAACATTCGTTTCGTTGTAGATCATCACATTTTTGTTTATGTAAAGACTGAATCTGCCAGTCAGTATTTAGGCAGGCTTGTTCAGCCTTTGCCAAATTTTCTTCCATCACCTAGGAAGAAGTTACACTTCAGAAACAAGATCAGACTAATAATACATACAATGACGGTATAACCACTCAATGTATCCAAGCGTCGGGTCAGCTGTTCACAACCCTGGCTGCATATTAGAATCACCCAGGAATGCTTAAAATAAGCTGGTGTCTGGGCCCCACCAGACATCAACTTATAAACTGACAGACCTGCTTCTATCAGTTTATAAAACATGCGTTCTTCAAGATTTACTTTTCATCTATAGGTATCTGCATCTGCTCACATTACGCCAATTAATCCAATCACTGGACAGCTGGGTACCAGCACCTTTTAAAAAGCTCTTCAAGTGATTCTAATTTACAGCCAGGGTTAAGAATTTATCAGCTATGGGATATGTGGGATTCAACAATTTCCATGTTTTCAGCACTCTGAAGAGGGGATAGTAGCCCATTTTAACAGACTGGACAAAAGCCTATTAAAAAAAATAATGGAATATCTTAAGAAAATCACCTAAGAGACTGTGGTAGAACAGAAGGTATCTAATGTACACTATTCCTGGTTTTGGGATAGGAGCAGACTGGTAAAAAATACCCATTTAACAGTTTGTTAAAGGCATAATAGCCAGGCGTGATGGCTCACGTCTGTAAACACAGCACTTTGGGAGGCTGAGGTAGGAGTTCGAGACCAGCCTGACCAACATGGAGAAACCCTGTCTCTAGTAAAAATACAAAATTAGCTAGGCATGGTGGCGCATCCCTGTAATCCCAGCTATTCAGGAGACTGAGGCAGGCGAATCGCTTGAATCCGGGAGGTGGAGGTTGCAGTGAGCCAGAATCGTGCCACTGCACTCCAGACTAGGCAACAAGAGCAAAACTCCGTCTCAAAAAAATAAAAATAAAAAAATAATAAGAGATAATAGAGAAAGCTCTTCTTTGAAAGTCTCAGGTTCTATTTTAATTCACATAAGTCAGCATTTCTGAAGGTGTACTCTATAAGAAATTCTCTGAAATGCGTGTGGGAAATTTTCTTAAGGATTCATGATGTACAGTATCCTCAAATTTGGCACGGAATATACCTCACTTTAAGACAGCATTTCCAACCCTTATTTGACCATCCCCATCTTATTGAATAATAGTTAGTAATCCACACAATACACTTGGAAGTGCGGGCTTACATACCAAGCAGGGACTTGATGCTTTGAACCTAATTAACTCAGGGACGATTTCGGAGGCAGGACACAGAGGACAGTATACTTTGTAAAGTCACTGTTCCTTTGTATTTTCTTTAAGGAAATTCCTTTGTATTTCCTCAAAGTGTAGGAAAAAGACATGTGCGTGATTACCCGTGAAGTAAGCATCTTTTTTCTTTTGGGGGACGGAGTCTTGCTCTGTTGCCAGGCTGGAGTGTGGTGGCTCAATCTCAGCTCACTGCAACCTCCACCTCTGGGGTTCAACTGATTCTCCTGCCTCAGCCTCCCAAGAAGCTGGGACTATAGGCACGTGTCACCATGCCCAGCTGATTTTTGCATTTCTAGTAGAGACAGGGTTTGAACATGTTGGCCAGGATGGTTTCGATATCTTGACCTCATGATCCACCCAACTTGGCCTCCCAAAGTGTTGGGATTACAGGCATGAGCCACTGTGCCTGGCCGCATCTTTTATATAAAAGAAAACAATGTGAGATTCTAGGAATTGTGACAACTGAAGCAAAGAAACAAACTAACTCAACTTCACAGAGTTTTTCAATTTTGTTCTCTTAAGAGGATGGCAGATTTCTCCTCCGTATATACACTCATGGATATTTTTACCTTCTGAGTTTTTTGGCTCTGCATTTCACCTGCTTCTATCAGTTGATGAAACATGTGTTCTTCAAGATCCACTTTTCGTCTATAGGCATCTGCGTCTGCTCGCATTTCTTTTGCAACAGCTTCTTGATTTTGAGTAAGATTCTGTTAAAATCATTTGTAAAAAAATGAATGATTTATATAATAATGCTAGAAGACAAAAATGACTTTTTTCAGAATAGTAATAGGCACACAAACAAAAGCTGTCATCATCTAATTTTCAAAGTAAAATGCAAAGACTGGAGAATCAGCAAAAATGGCAGAGTAAGGACCCCTGAAAATCCTCTCATCTATAAAAGCATTGAGAACACTGATTAAAAAAAAATGTCAAAATGAATTTTTTCAGCATTCTGGAAATTAACCAAAGGCTTGGCGCTATCTGGGGAGCATTTACTTATAAAAATGGCTGAATCTCGGTAAAAACAGCCAGCTCTCTGACATTTCACCTTGCATTTTCCCTGTTCCGCCCCACTCCCAAGCTATGCATCAGCCTTTATTTTTTTTGTGTGTGAAACAGAGTCTCACTCTGTCACCCAAGCTGGAGTGCAGTGGCATGATCTTGGCTCACTGCAATCTCCTGGGTTCAAGTGATTCTCTTGCCTCAGCCTCTCAAGCAGCTGCGATTTTATGTGCCCGCCACCATGCCTGGCTAACTTTTTTGTATATTTAGTAGAGATGGGTTTCACCATGTTGGCCAGGCTGGTCTCGAACTTCTGATCTCAAGTGATCCACCTGCCTCAGCCTCCCAAAGTGTTGGGATTACAGGTGTGAGCCACTGCACCTGGCCTATGCATTAGTCTTGAAAACCAGCAGCCTAGAAGCCAAGGGAGGAAGCCAAGCAAAATGGGGTTGGACGGAGCTCCTTCAAACCACCATTGCCAGAGAACTGGCATTATTTTACCTATCTGGTGGCTCCTGGAAAGACCACTCCTAAGACTGTCTTTTTTTAATCTTACTCAGAGCTCACCTAGTATAGAAATAGCCTTTTCCCTGGGGAAGCTGCTGAAAACAGCTTGGATGCTTGAGGCAGTGGATCTTAGGAGAGCAACTGATAGGCTAAGCAAAAAGCTTAACAGGAAAAACAGGAGAATGAGATGTCCACAGGAGGCTTAAAAAAGCTCTGACAGATTCCTGGAAGGTCACGTGCATGTGTAAGGCTGTGCATATGCCAAGGGCTGTGTTCTCAGACTTGAGAAGGACCTAAGATCTCACATTTCTGGTTAACACTGAGGTTTTGTATAACCAGGAAGTAAAATCGAAGAAGTAAAAACTACCTAGCTGAGTAAGAAAGGCATGCCCTAACGTGCACACAGAGCCCCTCAGCAACTACTAGAAGCATACTGGTTCAAAAAATCTAGGAAAGCCAGGCGTGGTGGCTCATGCCAGTTATCCCAGCACTTTGGGAGGCCAAGGCAGGTAGATCATGAGGTCAGGAGTTTGAGACCAGCCTGACCAACATGGTAAAACCCCATCTCTACTAACAATACAAAAATTAGCTAGGTGTGGTGGCACACACCTGTAATCCCAGCTGCTCAGGAAGCTGAGGCAGGAGAATCACCTGCACCCAGGAGGCAGAGGTTGCTGTGAGCCAAGATTGCACCACTGCACTCCGGCCTGGACGACACAGTGAGACTCCGTCTCAAAAAAAAAGAAAAAAAAGATTCTATGAAAAGCTCTGTCCAATCATATGCTGACCCCCAAACTATCTGAGTAGAGATGTCAGTGATTACATACAACAAAAAATAGAGGGTCTCACTCTGTCCTCAAGGCTGGAGTGCACAAGCTTGGCTCACTACAACCTCCATCCCCCAGGCTCAAGTGATCCTCCCACCTCAGCCTCCTGAATAGCTGGCACCACTGGTGTGTACCACATTTGGCTATTTCTGTGTATTTCTAGTAGAGATGGGGTCTTGCAGTGTTGCCCAGGCTAGAAAGTCTGACTTTTTAAGTGGGCTGAAAGAAGCGAAAACTTACAGTTTCAACACTAAATGAGTAACAAAATATTTTTCCTAAATAATAAAAATTTATATTAACAAAGCTCCTTTTTCTAGTGTCTTGAAATCTGAACAGTAAATACTAAGCAGATATTTGCTGATTTAACTCCAGAAGATTCCAATTTAAAGTACTTTTCAGGTCAGGCACAGTGGCTCATGCCTGTAATCCTAGCACTTTGGGAGGCTGAGGAGGGCAGACTGCTTGAGCCCAGGAGTTTGGGACTAGCCTGGGCAACAAGGTGAAACCCTATCTCTACAAAAAAGCCACAAAAATTAGATGAGCACGGTGGCGCATGTCTGTAGTCCCAGCTATTGAGGAGGCTGAGGCGGGATGGAGCAGGGGAGGTGAAGATTGTAGTGAGCTGAGATGGTGCCACTGCACTGCAGCCTGGGTGACTGAGTAAGACTGTCTCAAAAATAAATAAATAAAAATAGAAAGAAAGAAAAAGAAAAAGAAAAGGAAGAAAAAGAAAGAAAGAAGAAAGAATGAACGAACGAACGAACAAATGAACTAACGAACGAACAGAACTTTACAGCTCTCGACTGATTTACCTTTCGGGATCCTTGTGAGGTACTGAGATAATTTTGTAGTCACTATTACATAATTACAGGAAATTTTAGTAAGTTGGTAAAAAATCCTGAGGCAAAATCTGGGGCCTACATCTGGTGCTTCAGACACTAGACTAAGCTGCTAACAGAAACATGAATTAAATAATTACAACAAACTGTACATTCAGACATTTTGGCTACCTTACAATCCTGCATGGCATGATACTCTGCGTAAAAAGTGAATAAAACGAACACTAGAAAACCATGAATAAATACAGTCTAAAATGGGTTTATACAAACACTGTTTTTCTTTTTCTTTCTTTCTTTTTTTTTTTTTAAGATAGGGTCTTGCTCCGTTTGCCCAGGCTAGAGTACAGTGGTGTGATCATGGCTCACTGCAGCCTCGAACTCCAGGGCTCAAGTGATCTTCCTGCCTCAGCCTCCTGAGTAGTTGGGACTACAGATAAGAATGCTCAGCTAATTTTTAAAGTTTTCAGTAGAGATGGGGTCTCACTATATTGCCCAGGTTTGGAACTCCTTAGCTCCAAGTGATCCTCCTCCCCACTCAGCCTCCCAAAGTGCTGGGATTACAAGTTTGAGCCACTGAGCCTGGCCAAACCCTGCTTTTCTTATGTTGGAAATAACTGAATTTATTATACCTTCTCATAAAGTCTCTTTTGTGATTCGAGTTCCAGCTGTCTCATTTCTAGGTCTTTGGCTGTGGCAGCAATTTCTTGATCTCTCATGTGTATCTATGGCCAAAGAACAAACTGTGAATACCAAAAGAATTTACAAAATCATTTTTAATAGATTTAGTAATCCTGTAATCTAAATGACCTACTAACAGTATTTAAAATAACAGCAATTGGGTTCTTGAAACCAGAGTAACTGACAAAAATTAATATTCATTGCAGAATCTAGGAATAATCTCTCAAAGTTTAATTTAAAAATAAAAAGCACAATACCATATGCCCATCTCCTCAGACTGGAAGAACAGACAGCAGTTCTTACAGTATTACCGTAAGCAATATCATGAGTTAGAAAAACTTGAGCAATTTAAATCTGGGGTAGATAAAAATATAACATTTATTTAATTTTTTTTTGACTAAACTTCTAAACTTTTATAAGTTTGGTTTGACAATTAACAATTCTAGGTTTAAATTTCTTACAGAACGTTCAACCTGTATGAGTTCTGCTCCAAGTCAGTTAATTTAGAGTTCACCTATTTCCAAAACTGGATTACTTGGAAGCTTTTTATTCCTGTGTATTAGAGGGCTTGTATATGGGATATAGCACTCTCTAAAGACTCTTATATGTGATCTTATATATATAAGGTGAAGTGTTAGATATTGTCACTACGGTAAAAGACACACTATTAAATACCTAAAATAGGAGAAACAGTAAATGACAATGTAGTTGGATGTGCAAACATATATATCCAAGGGCTAAAAGAAAAACATGGACCAGGACCAGTTCAATTCAAAGAGGTTATTGGGAAAGGAGTTAGCTCAAAGGTGGGGGAAGCTTGATTGTATGAAGCAAGAACAGTACGAATGCCAGGAAGTGGAGGAAAGGTGTGGCATAGCAAATAATGCTTTTTTAGGAATTTCAATTACAGAGCTCTTTTGCTTATGAATTTTCAGAGATACAAACAGCTATGCACCACAGCAAAAACAGATCAACTTTGCTTGTTGCTAATAGATGTTCACAGTCACATTACTTGTCACTTCAGATTCAAGCAGCCTTTCCTGCTACAGCCTGAACTGTGAGAAGAGCTTTTGCAGTTTGGCAGGGTCAGACCGCAACATCAGAATAAGCAGCCGGGAGGACAGGAGGCTGGAAGGGTAGGTGGAGGCCAGATTATGTTACTGAAAGGAGTTTATAAGATTCTTGGACTAAAAAGTGCCTCCTCCTATTTCAAAGGGATTTGGAATAAAGACATGAGAGGTCTGAGCTTGCATTACACTTTGTGGGAAGAACACACTTTTCTGTAGTAATGAAATATCAATCGCATTACTAGATGAGAAAATTAAAAGAAATCTTGGATTTTGAAAACCAATTTAAAATTAACAAGCTTTAAACAAAACAAGAAGTGTTGTGTTATAAAGAGAGAATACATTTCTAATACGTATGAATTAAAAATACTTTAAAAGACTTAGGCCAGATGCCTGTAATCCCAGCACTTTGCGAAGCTGAGGTGGGCAGATCACTTGAAGTTAGGAGTTCCAGATCAGACTGACATACATGGTGAAACCCCATCTCTACTAAAAATACAAAAATTAGCGGGGTGTTGTGGTGGACACCTGTAATCCCATCTGCTTGGGAGGCTGAGGCATGAGAATCATTTGAATCGGGGAGGTGGAGGTTGCAGTAAGCCAGGATCACACCACTGTACTCCAGCCTGGGCAAAGAATTAGACCCTGTCTTAAAAAAACAAACAAACAAAAAAAAAACACTTAAAAAGTATTTAGTATTTTATCAAAGCTAGGCTTGAAACTCTAAATTAGTGTGTAAATTCAGTGCAATCCTAATAAAAATTCCAATAGGATTTTTTATTGGAGAGGTGAGAATTCCAAAAGTGAAACAATTCTTAAAGCCTATTTGGAATGATAAACATTTGAGAATACTGAGGAAAACTCAGAAAAGGAAGACTAATGAGTGAGAATTAGGTCTAGTTAGTAAAACATTACAAAGCTACTGTCATTCAAACAGTGTGGAACTGACTTGGGGATAGAAAAAGCAAGGAAGGAGATAAAATATTGAAGAGAATTTAATATGTAACAACGATCAGTTGGAAAATGACTTGGCTAATATTCAACAAATGGTGTTGGGACAACTGATTTGCCTTTTGGGGATAAGTAAGCTAACTAACAGAAAGTTAGGTCTAACTTGACAGAAAGATGGACAAATGAGGCAAATATGTAATCTGTAGTTCTACAAATGGAAGATAAATAACAGAAGAGATAGTTAACCTCACTAACAATAAAAAAAGGCAAATTAAAATAGACTATTTGTCATCTATCGACTTGGGAAATATTAAGACTGATGCAGTCCAGCTGACTATACTAGGATATGGGCACTCTTAGACTTAAAACAGCTTCAACCGTTTCATTTTTAGAGGACAATTTGGCATAATTTAGAAGTTACTCAACAAAAGTATGTGTGCAAGTACTCAAAGATCCATACAATGTAGCAAGGTTTTGTTATTTGCAAAACACTGCAAATAATCTAAATGGCCAGTAACAAAAAATTAAATAAACCATTCAATGAGTTATTACACAACCACAAAGAGAAATAGATACACATATAACAAATATGAAAATATATTCAACATATGTAATTTTAAAAAGCAGGTCACAAAAACAATGTATGAGAATAATCCCATTTTTGTATAAATATAGGAAAACATGACCATAATTATGCCTCTATCATAGAACACACCTGAAAGGCTATGTAATTAACCATTTTTTAACATATTTCTCTGGGGATAAAATGAGGACTAATGGAGAAGGTCCATTTTTAATTCTATATATTTTGTACTGGAAATTGTTTTTATACTGGCCACAGATAATTTTTATATGAAAAAAGAATGTCACCTAATTAAAAATTAACTGCCAGGTGTGGTGGCTCACATCTGTAACCCCAGCACTTTGGGAGGCCAAGGTGAGCAGATCACCTGAGGTCATGAGTTCGAGACCAGTCTGGCCAACAGGATGAAACTCCATCTCTATCAAAAATACAAAAATTAGCTGGGCATGGTGGTGTGCCCCTGTAATTCCAGCAACCTGGGAGGCTGAGGCAGGAGAATCTCTTGAATGTGGGAGGTGGAGGTTGCAGTGAGCCAAGATTGCACCACTGCACTTTAGCCTGGGCGACAGAGCAAGACTCCGTCACAAAAAAATAACTTAATGGTTAACTGATACTGATTATTTCTATTTTTAGACAAATAGTCACCATAGTCACCAAGGACACTTGACTAATTTTCCTGGCATTTCTTAAATATTTAGCCATTCATGACATACAAAAGAGAACAAGAAAAGCTAAGGGGAAGAGTAAATAAAATTAAAGGGGCTATTTGGTATTCACGGTGGACTCTAGGAATATTATTTAATTTGAAGGTATTCATTACATTTAAGTGAGAGTAAACGGAGATGATGTATGAGAACTAAGGTAAGAATAATAAACAAAAAACAACAAAAAAAGGAAAGAATAATAAACCTTTCTCCCAATCTCGTCGTCCAGTCTTCTTAGCTCCATTTCCCGTTGATCTTGCTGAAGCTTCAGAAAACGCCTTCTTACAGCATCTTGTAAGTGCATTTCCTTTATTTTCAGCTCTCTCTTCGCAGCAGCTAGCCTTAAATACAAAATACATCAAGTGGGACAAATAAAGCAATTCCTAATATGATTTAACTTTTTCATAACAGGTCTACCACTCCAATCCCTTCAATACAATTGATATCCTTTATCTGAAATGCCAGAAATGCTCCACTGTCACTGAAAATGATATATACGTAATGCCTTGAGAATTGCAGTATAAAGCTCACCGGCTCAGTTCAGTTACTCTTTTTAACCCACACTATAAATCTGTTACATAAAGTTTCATCTAAGAATGAGAATCTATAAACACAGAAGTGAGTTTCCCAATAGTTAGGCTTAGTCTCCATGATTATCCCATAACTTTACTTAATTTACATATTTTACCTTATTAACATTCTTTTATTTATTTATTTATATATTTTTTGAGAGGGAGTCTTGCTCTGTTGCCAGGCTAGAGTGCAGTGGCTTGGTCTCAGTTCATTGCAACCTCTGCCTCTCAGGGTCAAGCAATTCTGCTTCAGCCTCCCAAGTAGCTGGGATTACAGGCATGCACCACCATGCTCCGCTAATTTTTGTAGTTTTAGTAGAGATGGGGTTTCACCATGTTGGCCAGGCTGGTCTCAAACTCCTGACCTCAAGTGATCCACCCGCCTGGCCTCCCAAATCGCTGGGATTACAGGTGTGAGCCACTGCGCCTAGCCTATGTGTTTATTTTTAAGTTTTTGCTTGTTTTTTTAAGAGACAGGGTCTCACTATGTTGCTCAGGTTGGCCTTCACCTCCTGGGCTCAAGTGATGCTACCTAGTAGCTGAGACTATAGGTACGTGCCACCACACCCAGCTAACATACTTTTGAATACACATCTAATACTCATTCCCCTGTCCTCCAAACTGTTAAATGAGTAATGACATAATCATTTTATGTTACAATTGTCAGGTCACACAGATATGTTTAAAACACAATTCAAAAAATTATACTCCACTAAAGGTGATATACCCAGCACTTTATTACAAAGCATTTCTGCCCACTATAGAAATGTTTCTAAATAATGTCCTTCAAGATACATTAATGTGTGCAAAGCTATATTGCATCCAGTATAGCTTCAGAATTGCATTTACTACAGAGCAATTTTTCAAAAAGTGGTATATAAAGATTCTTTTTATTAACTTAATAGAAATACTACAGCTGGTAATCCTATATATAACGTTATTCCTAAAATAAAAAATTGAAAGAACACAAAACTTATTTGACTAACTCATATGTCCAGATTTGTTTAGTGATCAGACATACCTCTGTCTTTGTTGTATCATTTTCTCCTCCTCTTGTAAGAGCATTTCTCTCCTTGTTTCTTCAGCTTTACGAAGCAGCTCCTGTTTCTGGTACCAAGCTTCATCTTCAACTCTTTGCTGGTCGACTTCAGCTTGCATATCTTCAACTGTCTGCCTGAAGTAGATAATATTATTATGAAAACACTCTCTACCTAAGTAATTTAATTCCAAGAATCATCAAAACACAAAATGTATACTATTAATATATAATCCATTTTATTTCTATATGTAAGAATTAACTCTTTAATATTTCTAGCCTTCAAACTTTGATTTTAAACAAATACTCAATAGTTTAAATGTATTTTTCATGAAAACTTTATTATGTTTATAACAGAGTTTACTGTATCAGAAAAAGAACAACTATTCCATAATTACCTCTCCCTTAGGTAATCCAACTCATCGTTCCTTATTCTTTCTCGTTCCTGTGTCTGATAGTCCACAATAAACTTTGGATATTGATTAAATACTGGGTACTGTCCTTTTGTCAGTGCAACAAAAACATGAAGCATGCTGTCTGGATGAATGGCAGTGGGCGTGGTCTCCATGAGATGATACACTTGTCTAATCACAACATTTATATCCAGGTTATTCCGATGGTGAAAAAAAAACTGTAAGAAAACTTGGTGTTTAAATTGAGATTTACCTGACGAAGCAATTATGAGGTAGAAATAAAACAAGGATTTTAAAAAATGTGAATCTATCTTTAAGAGTATATATTTTTAGCCAGGCGAGGTGGCTTACACCTTAATTCCAGCACTTTGGGAGGCCGAGGTGGACAAATCACGAGGTCAGCAGTTTAAGACCAGCCTGGCCAACATGGTGAAACCCCGTCTCTACTAAAAATACAAAAAAATTAGCTGGGAGTGGTGGCTTGTGCCTATAATCCCAGCTACTTGGGAAGCTGAGGCAGGAGAATCACTTGAACCCTGGAGGTGGATGTGGCAGTGAGCCAAGATTGTGCCATTGCACTCCAGCCTGGGTGACAGAGTGAGACTTTGCCTCAAAAAAAAAAAAAAAGAATACATTTTTTGCAAATTCATTAAAGGTTTTCTCTACTCAAGTTTTACAATGAAGACAATTTATTTTAAAACTGTAACAGAGTTTCACAATCCTAAGAAATTCTGACATAAAACTGTTTACATTTTAACTTAAAATGAAGGCTTTTATTACAATAAAAAAAAAAAGAATGCTTCAACAATAGACAATAGAACAAACTCTGCTTGGATTTTTATTTTTTCTTCAAAATCCAAAATAAATTAGCCTTTGAAAATAAATTAGCTTGACTTTTAAAAAATATCTGAAATGTTTCCACATTATCTTGTTTTGCTGGAAGATACAAATAAATGTATCATGGAATCATGAGGTAAAAATGAAGTTTAATTGGACACACTAAATAAGTCACACACATACAAGAACCCAACTAATTCATCTTGTCCACCAAAAGAGCCTCTACTTTTATTTACGATCTCTAATGCTTTCTTTCAGACACTTTCCTGCCAGGTCTCAAAGCTCTTATAGTTATCTTTTGCATGTATAGTAAGCATTCAGACTATCTAAGACCAGATGGGTATTGATAAGATAGGCACAGAATAACAACTCTCTACCTGTTAAACATCCTTTATAAAAGCAAAAAGCAGCTAGGCGAGGTGGCTCACACCTGTAATCTCAACACTTTGGGAGGCCAAGGCAGTGGATCACCCGGGGTCAAGAGTTCGAGACCAGCCTCGCCAACATGCTGAAACCCCATCTATTAAAAATACAAAAAAATTAGCTGGGGGTGGTGGCAGGCACCTGTAGTCCCAGCTACTCAGGAGGCTGAGGCAGGAAAATCACTTGAACCCGGGAGGCGGAGGTGGCAAAGAGCCAAGATCGTGCCATTACACTCCAGTCTGGGTGACAGAGCAAGACTCTGTCTCAAAAAAAAAAAAGCAAGCGAAAAGCAGAAACCCCAATATTATCATGATTCTTTTCTTAAGCTATGATTGTAAGACTACTAGCCTATTATAATTGCCTGCTTTATTGTCTATAAACTGTATACAGATGGTGATGTGGTGTGACTTGTTATCCTTTATATTCCTATCACCTAGCACCAGTGTCTGACATATAACAAGGATTCAATAAATAAATGGATTTTTCAATTGAAATAACTGATATGGCTGGGTGCAGTGGCTCTTTGGAGGCTAAGGTGGCAGAATCATGAGGTCAGGAGTTTGAGACCAGTCTGACCAACATGGTGAAACCCGTCTCTACTGAAAATACAAAAATTAGCTGGGCGTGATGGCACGCACCTGTAATCCCACCTACTCAGGAGGCTGAGGCAGGAGAATTGCTTGAACCCAGGAGGTGGAGGTTGCTGTGGGCCAAAATTGCGCCACTGTACTCCAGTTTGGGTGACAGAGCAAGACTCTGTCGCAAAAGAAAAAATAAAAAATTAAAAAAGAGAGAAAAAAAGAAATAACTGATATTTGAGAACTTCCTCTTAAGAACAAGAATATTTACCTCAAAATCATCTTTAAGATTACAGTTGAGCAGAGGCACTCTAGAACATATGTTGTAGGCTACAACAGTCATCAGAAGGAAGGAAGGATGGTTGGAAAAAATATTGTCAAACAATTTCAGCCACTCTTCTCTTGTCAGCACTTCCGAGAACACAGTTTCAAGAAGAGGCCATGCATATAGCTACAACAGATGAGGAAAAATGTATTAGTTTTCTAAGGAAAAGTAAAAACAGAGTCATTGGTAATATTCCCTTACATTTTATTTAAGCTATGAAAATCGTTATTAAATACATAATTATAAAATAACCACCTTAATTTGGACGCTTTTTTTTTTTTACAGACTTTCAGGAAGGCAGTTTAATGAAGAAAATAATGAAATACTGTTAAAAATACAAAACGTAGTATGCTTTTTATTATACTCCTTCAAAAAAATACTGTTTACACCAGAACCAATGTTAGCTTACAAAATAAGTCATGTTATTCTAAAAACCTTCTGCTTCTTACCTGGGAAGTTATATCATGATCTATGAAGTGTTGCAGCAGTTCCTTGTCATGAAATGCCAAAACATTTTCTATCATACTAAGAATATTGATAGGAGGATTAGGAAAATACTCAAACCAGTGTTGACACCAATTCACTATGAAGGAAAAAAAAAGAAAACTTATCTTTAAATATCTTTGTGTGCTATCAAAAGACTTCACAATTCTTAAATATATCCAATTTTTATGTTCTCAATATGTCCATGAATAATAGAAAATATAACTCTTTATATTGTATGACGATCGATTTAAAAATTCTATGTTAACATAGTATCTTATGTTTATAGAAATTTTGTAAATTTCCTTAGTCAATGAAAAAGTGTTAATTAAAACAAACACAAATTCCCAAAGTACTCCTGATCCTAGTTACAGGGCATTGTGGTTCCTGACTCCTGTTTTGTTTATCACGTGATTAACAAAATGATCTTTTTAAAAGGGTCCCTATTTAGGCCTTCATTAAAATGTCACCTTGGATGAGATCCAAGATGGCTGATCGCTAACAGTTCGGGATTGTAGCTCCCAGTGAAAGCACAGAGAACGAGAGGATGCCACACTTTCAGATGAATTTTCGTCACTCACAGACCAGAAGATTCCCAGTGGAGGGGCCCCACGGGTCGCCAGCGCGACTCTTGTGGCTGGCGCAGCAGTTTTGCCGGCACGCTAGTGCAGCAGTTTTTCCGGCGCCTCGGCACGGCAGCTCTTCATGCAGAATAAACGGGAGGAGATTCCTGGGCAGAAGAGCACCATCAGTCTCATTGCTGCTGTTTTGGCTGGTGCAGTGGGTTGCTTGGATTCCAGCACTGGGAATCAATAAACTCAGAAACCCAACTAGAAAGGTGGTAATTGTAAAGACGACAGATGGATAAATTTATAACAAAGGGAAGAAACCAGTCTAAAAAGGCTGAGAATACCCAAAATCAGAACCCCTCTCCTTCTACAGGGGATTACAGTTCCTCATCAGCAACAGAAGAAGCCCTGATGGAAAAGGACTGTGTGCCATTAACAGAAGTAGGCAACCCAATGTAAAGAAACTAAGAACTTTGAAAAAAGGTTTGACAAAATGCTAACAAGAATAGACAATATAGAGAGGAATATAAATGAACTAACGAAGTTGAAAAACACGACACAAAAACTTAGCAAAATATGCCCAAGTTTGAATAGCCGAATTGATCAAGCAGAAGAAAGGATATCAGAGGTCGAAGACCTACTTAATGAAATAAAACAAGAAGATAAGAATAGAGAAAAAAGGATAAAAAAGAATGAGCAAGGTCTCTAAGAAATATGGGATGATGTGAAAAGACCTAATTTACGTTTGATAAGTGTACCTGAATACGACGAAGAGAATGAATCCAATCTGGAAAATATTCTTCAGGATATTATTCAGGAAAACTTTCCAAATCTAGCAAAGCAGGACAATATTCAACCCCAGGTAATACAGAGAACACCACAAAGATATTCCTCAAGAAGAGCAACCCCAAGGCACATAATCGTCAGATTCACCAGGGTTGAAACTAAGGGCAGCCAGAGAGAAAGGTCAGGTTACCCACAAAGGGAACCCTATTAGACTTACAGCAGATCTCTCAGCAGAAACCCTACAAGTCAGAAGAGAGTGGGGGCCGATATTCAACATCCTTAAAGAACATAACTTTCAGCCCAGAATTTCATATCCTGCTAAACTAAGCTTCACAACTGAAGGAAAAATAAAATCTTTTATGAACAAGCAAGTACTCAGAGATTTTATTACCACCAGGCTGGCTTTACAAGAGCTTCTGAAAGAAGCATTATATATAGAAAGGAACAACCAGTATTAGCCTTTCTAAAAATATGCCAAAAAGTAAAGAGCATCAGCATAAAGAAGAATTTACATCAATGAATGGATAAAATAGCCAGTTAACATCAAATGGCAGTAACCCTAAATTTAAGTCGACTAAATCCTCCAATCAAAAGATACAGCCAAAACCTAACGGTATGTTACATCCAGACCCGTTTCACATGCAAGGATACACAAAGACTCAAAACAAAGGGATGGAGAAAGATTTACCAACCAAATAGAGAGCAAAAATAAATAAATAAATAAAAAGCAGGAGTTGCAATTCTCGCATCTGATAAAATAGATTTCAAAGCAACAAAGATATAGTGGTAAAAGGATCAATGCAACAATAAGAGCTAACGATCCTAACACCCAGATACATAAGTCTCATAAAGAGATTTAGACTCAACGAGACAGAAAATTAATAAAGATATCCAGGACTTGAACTCAGATCCGGAACAAGTAAACTCAATAAATATTTATAGAGCTCTCCATTTTAAATACACAAAATATACACTCTCCACCTTAAATACACAAAATATTGATCGGCCATTATTAATATCCATTTTTAGAATAAAGCTACATTTCCATTCTGTCTCCCTCTTTTTCTTCCTTTCTTCCTCTGAGAAAGTGACTGAAGTATCTGGATGCTTCTTCTGGCAAATCCGTACAAAGAACGCATGTGATGACATTCTGTCTCTCAGCTTCTTGGGGTTGCCTTGCCAGTGTGTAGTTCTCTTTCCTCAGCGAGGCAGAGTCACCTGGCATCCATCTGGCTCACACCTGCACCGGTGGAGCTCCACGTACAGCAATGACGTGAAAGCAGGAGTCAGAGGCAGCCTCCTCACTCGCTCCCCTCAGAAACATTACTCTTTAATAAAGGTTTATTGAGTAAAACTAATTTGAGACCCTTGATAAAAATCCACGACTGATGCTGACCATCCCAGAGGAAACAATAGTCTCCCAAATTTAGATTTCAGGCATGTTTGTTTAGAAGAGAAAAATCAATTTCCTTAGTATAAAACATTTTAGCTATGTAACAAGATTTTACCAGAAATAAAGAACTGTTTTGCATGCCTACCTAAGTCAACTATAATTTGTTACTTTCTATACTAATTATAGTAAAACAGATGCTATTTGCCACTTTAACCATTTCTCTTTTTTTGAGACAGAGTTTCGCTCTTGTCACCCAAGCTGGAGTGCAATGGCGAGATCTTAGCTCACTGCAACCTCCTCCTGCTGGGTTCAAGTGATTCTCCTGCCTCAGCCTCCTAAGTAGCTAGGATTACAGGCGCCTGCCACCACATTTGGCTAGTTTTTTATTTTTAGTAGCAACGGGGTGTCACCATGTTGGCCAGGTTGGTTTCAAAACTCCTGACCTCAAGTGATCCACCTGCCTCAGCCTCCCAAAGTGCTGGGATTACAGGTGTGAGCCACTGCGCCTGGCCACTTTTACCATTTTTAAGTGTACAATTCAGAGACATAATCTCATTCAGTGTTATACAATTATTACCACTATCGATTCCCCAAACCCTTTCAATACTCCAAACAGAAACTCTGTATTCATTCAGGACTAGCTCTCTGTCCCACTTTCCCTAGCCCCTGTAAACTCTAATTTATTTTCTGTATCTATGAATTTGCCTATTCTAGATATTTCCCAAGTGAAACCATACAATATCTGTCCTTTGGTGTCTAGCTTATTTCACTAAGCATGATGTTCTCAAGGTTCACCCATGTTGCAGCTAGCGTGTGTCAGGACTTCATTTCTTTTGACAACTGGATAATATTCCACTATTTTCCATATAAGTGTGGTATATGTGTGTGTATACCACACTTTGTTTAACCATTAATCTGTTAATAGACTGTTTCCATCTTGTGGCTATTGGGAATAAGGATGCTATGAACATTCACATGTGAGTATCTGTCTGACTCTCAGTTTAAAGTTCTTTTGTGTATATACCCACGAGTGAAATTGTTGGGTTATATGGTAATTCTATGTTTGAATTTTTGAAGAAATGGCAAATTGTTTTTCACAGTGCCAAACTGTTTTCCACAGTGACAGCATTATTTTACGTTTCTACCAGCAATAAATGAAAGTTCCAATTTTCCCACATCCCCAATAATATGTGTATAACATTTTTAAATTATAGCTATCCTAGCAGGTATAAAGTGGCATCTCACTGTGGTTTTGGTTTGCATTTCCCTAATGACTGATGATGCTGAGCATCTTTTCATATGCTTGATAGTCATTTATACACTGCCTATAAAGAAATGTCTATTCAAGTCCTTTACTTATTTTTTTTATTTTTTATTTTTCCTTTACTTATTTTTTAATTGGCTTGTCTTTTTGTTATTGTGTTTCTTTTGCTTTTAAAACATGTAGTGCTATTGGCAGGAAAACTACTACCTGTGTTAGTTTGCTTTTCTATTGCTATAAAGAAATACCTGAGACTGGGTAATTTACAAGGAACGGGTTTAATTGACTCATGGCTCTGCAGGCTGTGCAAGCAGAGCTCTAGCACCCGCTTTCGGAAGTGAAGACAGCAGGACCGAGAGATGAGGTGAGGACCTCAGGAAGAGGACAGGAACGAGAGCGCAAGGTGGGTGGTGCTACACTCTTTCAAACAACTAGATCTCGTGTGAATTAACTGAGTGAGAACTTGTTTACAATCAAGGGGGTGGTGCTAAAGCCATTTATGAATGATTTGTCCTCATAATCCAACACCTCCCACTGGGCCCCACCTCCAACATCAGGGATCGCATTTCAACATGAGATTTGGAGGGACACACATCCAAACCATATGACAACCCTTTTGTAATAATAACCCAATTCCTATTTTATAACCTGATAATACCAATTCTGGGAATCTACCCAAAGGAAGTTATTTTTTTTTGTGTGAAGATTTGTTATAACATTGTTATTTTTTTTAATAGGTAAAACTGCTGGGTGTGGGCAGCTCATGCCTGTAATCCCTGCACTTTGGGAGGCTGAGGTGGGCAGATCACTTGGGGTCAGGAGTTTGAGACCAGCCTGGCCAACATGATGAAACTCTGTCTCTACTAAAAATACAAAAATTAGCCAGGCATGGTGTGGCGGGTCCCCATAATCCCAGCTACTCAGGAGGCTGAAGGAGGAGAATCACCCAGGAGGTGGCGGTTGCAGTGAGCTGAGGTGGTGCCACTGCACTCCAGCCTAGGTGACAGAGTGTGAGACTCCCATCTGAAAAAACAAAAAAAGAGGTAAAATTAGAAACAATCTAACTATCAAAGAACAGAAGATTAAACTAGTATATGCGCCTTATGTAATAACAGCCAATAAAAATGTTTATGAAATGTATAAAAATAAGGGAAATCTATCTATCTATCTATCTATCTATATATAAAATGAAGTAAATATAGTATAACAACAAAAAACTGCTTTAAAAGTGTGGAAAAATTAGAAAAATAAAATTCTTGCAGTTGAAGAATACATAAATGATATATCTGTAAGATGAAATACTATTTTATGCAGACAATAAATTATGTTTTTCTTTCTTTTTTTTTTTTTTGAGACAGAGTTTCCCTCTGTCTTGCCCAGGCTGGAGTGCAATGGAGCAATCTCAGCTTACTGCAGCCTCCGCCTCCTGGGTTCAAGTGATTCTCCTGACTCAGCCTCCTGAGTAGCTGGGATTACAGGCACACACCATCATGCCTGGCTAATTTCTGTATTTTTAGTAGACAGGGTTTCACCATGTTGGCCAGGTTGGTCTTGAACTCCTGACCTAAGGTGATCTAACTTCCTCGGCCTCCCAAAGTGCTGGGATTACAGGTGTGAGCTACCGTGCCTGGCCTAAATGATGTTTTTCACAAATATTTAATAATTTGGGAATAAATGACCTTATACGAAATCACCGTTTTCAAAGATTACCTTTGGAGAAAAGAAATATTGGTAAATTTAATTTTCTTTTGTGTGTTTTCTTATGTTTTTCAAAATTTCTCCACCGATTAGCAAAAAAATTATTAAAACAAGTACAATGTTAACAGAAGTGTAAAGAAAATACACTGAAATATACAACATCTATACGCTTGGAACTTTTTCTTAGTTCAACTTTTCAGAATTTTAAGTTAAATTACTTATCTCCTTTGTATAAAAACAACAAATTAGGTAACAAAGTACATATAACATTGATTTTTGTTAAACCAATCTATAATTTTGATCCAGTTTAATAGACTTGATTTTACTAATATGAAAATAACGACCCACTTTTCGGTGTAAATGATAATGATGTTGAACAAACACAACAGCTGCAAGTACAGATGATGAAGTCTGCCTGCTTGGGTTCAAACGCTTGCTCTGCCCCTAAACTAACCTTGGGTAATTCACACTCTCTGTGTCTCAGGCTCTTCACTTGTAAAAAGGGGATAAATAATGCCTACAGCATAGGATTATTTTAAGGATTAAATGAATTAATAAAGCTAAAACACTAAGAATGCTGTCTGGTACACTGAAAATGCTCAGTAAACATCAGCCATGTATGATGAGGATGAGGACAGAGGCCAACACTTGAGTATTAAACCACAGGAGCTATGTGCAGTGCTTTACAGTTATAACAGTCCTATGAAGAATAACTGGCAGGCTGGGTAAGGTGGCTCACACCTGTAATCCCAGCACTTTTGGAGGCTGAGGTGGATGGATCACGAGGTCAAGAGATGGAAGCCATCCTCGCCAACATGGTGAAACCCCATCTCTACTAAAAACATGAAAATTAGCTGGGCGTGGTGGTGCACACCTGTAGTCCCAGCTACTGGGAAGGCTGAGGCAGGAGAATCATTTGAACCTGGGAGGCAGAGGTTGCAGTGAGCCAAGATTGTGCCACTGCACTCCAGCCTGGTGACAGAGCAAAACTCCGTCTCAAAAAAAAAAAAAAAAAAAAAGTAACTGGCTTTCCTTTGATCTACTTCATTCTTACTAGCAAAATCCAGTCTATAATATCTTTAAAAACTTAACTATCCAAATTTTCTTCTAAATAAAAAGGTTTACATATGAACGCTTCAACTGTCTATTTTATGCTTCTTTTTTTAAAAATTATTTTATTTTTTTATAGATGGGGGTTTCACTATGTTGATCAGGCTGGTCATGAACTCCTGACCTAAGGTGATCCTCCCGCCTTGGCCTCCAAAGTGCTTGGATAACAGGTGTGAGCCACCACGCCCGGCTGCTTGATATCTTATTGTTTCACACTTTCTTGACTTAAAAGTAGAGACATCCAGAATTGTTAAATGCTGCAAAGGTGCAAAGACATCAGGAAAATGTAGAAAAATCCATTCTTGATCTCATACTTTAATAAGTATTTACTTACTTATGAGAGTAGCAATAACTTCAAAACAGATGAGTTGATTGTTCTGGAATAATTTTACAAATGGAAATGCCAAGAGTGGAAGATACGGTGTGTCACTGAAAATGACAGACCAGTGAGCTAATGCAGATAAGGTTCTGTGAATAAAATAACTTAGCATTAACATTTACTTGAATAAGTCATATATTCACATGATAAAAATCTTATACAAAAGGTGTATTTGGTGCAGATTCTTCCTGGTACCCGTATCATCTAGTTCACCTCTTCAGAAGTACCACTGTTAAAAGTATAAATCCTTTTTTAAAAAACCACAAACGGTAGTATATTATAAAAATTGTTCTGTACTTTGCATTTTTCAATTAATGGTATCTTGGAAATAGTGTATATCAGTATATGCAGACCTTTCTTAAGACATTTCACAGATGCATATGACAGCTTTGTATCAATACACCTTCATTTCTTTCTGTTTTTTTCTGAAACAGGGCCTCGCTTTGTCACTCAGGCTGGAATGCAGCGGCACAATCATGGCTCAGTGCAGCCTTAAACTCCTAGGCTCAAGTGGTCTTCCTGCCTCAGTCTCTTGAGTAGCTGGGCCTACAGGTGTATGCCACTATGCCCGGCTAATTTTTTTGTGGGTAGAGGCAGGATCTCACTATGTTACCCAGGCTGGCCTCCAACTCCTGGGCTCAAGTGATCCTCCTGCCTCAGCTTCCCAAAGTGCTTGGATTAGAGGCGTGAGCCACTGGTGTCCCACCACCTTCATTTCTTTAACATGACCTCTATTGTTGGGCATTTGCTTCCAATCTTTTTATTTTTTTTTTGAGACAGAGTTTTGCTCTTGTTGCCCTGGCTGCAGTGCAATGGCTCGATCTTGGCTTACCACCATCTCCACCTCCTGGGTTTGAGCTATTTTCTGCCTCTGCCTCCTGAATAGCTGGGATTACAAGCATGCGCCACCATGCATGGCTAATTTTGCATTTTTAGTAGAGACGGGGTTTCTCCATGTTGGCCAGGCTGGTCTCGAACTCCTGACATCAGGTGATCCACCCACCTTGACCTCCCAAACTGCTGGGATTGCAGGTGTGAGCCGTGCCTGGCCACTCCTAGAACTTTTGTCCACTAATTTTAGCACCAATTGGTGGATTTTGCCTCCAACAATGATCACTGTGGTGTCCTAATGGTGATATTCTATTTCTCGAATTCCTTCTACATTTATTAGAATTCTCCCTTCTCCCTCATTTATGTCTTTAATTATTTATGTCAAGATAAACTCATGGATATTTACTTTATTCTACAAGTTATAATTGATCATTATTTATTTTATTCCTCACATTTTTCCAGCTTTGTCCACTGGAACTTTCAGGTTGAGTCATGTGCCCTTTTGACATGCCTGTCCTTTCTGAGCACTTCCTTACTTTACGGCACTAAAACATGCTTCAGGTTCATCTTGTGTTTTCCCTACATGAACAGGCGCGCTCATTGCTACCAGGGTGTCATTGCTAGGCCCTCTTGGTAGACAGAGCTTGGAAATATATGTGTGTACACTAACTCCTGCATACATACATATCTTTATTTCTTTCTGTGTTTATTTATCTGCACACAATTTAAGAACCAACACTATCGATTCCAATCAACTACTGCAAGACTCATTCGAACCCTTTTTCTTATTTGTATCTTCTTTCTCTGAGTGTAAGAAACCTGGCTCTCATCTCTGTTTAGTTATTTGTATAAAAAAGTGGCTTCTACACATAAAGTAGTTTCAGACTCCTAACCCCACATTTATTTCTAATACTTTGATGGTTTTGTTTTTTAGAAAAGTAATTAAACCTTTAGTTCAAGCAGAATTTATCCTGGTGTAAGATACGAGGTATGCTTCCAACTGTTTCTAGATGGCTAGCTAGTTATTCCATGTCATTTACTAAATAACTTACCTTTTCTTCATCACTGTGAAATGTCATCTTTAAAAACAAGTCAATTTTTGAATGTAGCTGGGTCTATTGTTAGACTCTGCATATCAATTTATGTATCAGCAGCAATTTCAATTATTTTAGCTTTATAATAACTTTTACTATTAAGGCTAAGTCCCTCTCATTACTGTTTAAATATAAATTATTTTTCTAAGAAGTATACTTTATAGTTAATGTGGCAAGCAGAATAATGCAAATCATTCCCCTCCCGAAAAGATGCCCATGCTCTAATCACTGTAATTTATGAAGATATTATTTCACTTGGGACTTTGCAAATATGGTTAAGCACCTTGGGGTGAGGGCATTTATCCTGGACCACCTGGGTGGGTCCAATCTAATCACACAGGTCCTTAAAATCAAAGAACCCCTTCCTGGTTGTGGTCAGAAGAATATACGACTACAGAGAAGGTTGTGGATGGTCAGAGAGATGCTTTGAAGACAGAGACGGTGGGCCTGAGTCATGAAATGTGGGAAGCCTGCAGAAGCTGGGTAAGGCAAGGAAAAGGATTTTCCCCAGAGCCTCTAGAAAGCAATGCAGCCCTGCTGACACTCTGATTTTAGCCCAGTGAGATCCAACCTATGGTGAACTTCTGCCTACCAAGCTCTAAGGATAAATCTGTGTTGTTTTTAAGCTACTACATGTGTGGTAATTTGCTATGGTGGCAATACGGAACTAATATAGTTAATGGAGTTAATAGGCTACTTCAGACATATTTTATTATTCAATACAATACTCAGAACAACCCCCAGGAGGGAGGGATTAGCAACATTACTGAGTCTAGGAAATGGAATTCCAGAGATTGTAAGGAAATCCTCATTACTGGAAGGGCTGGAAATCAACCTAAATACAAGAACATGTTCTCCTAAGGATAGTACTTTCATAATTACAGCAGTTATGTATTCAACAATAAGTTCCCATCTTTTGACTAACATCAAATTACTTTGTTGAGAGATGACTTAAAAACAAAATTAGCCAGGCGTGGTGGTGCGCACCTGTAGCAGCTACTTGGGAGGCTAAGGTGGGAGGATCGGGTGAGCCTAGGAGTTCAAGGCTACAGTGACCTATGATTATGCCACTGCCCTCTAGCCTGGGTGACAGAGTGAGACCCTGCCTCAAAAAACAAAAACAAAAATGAAAAGAATAATTTGATTATATATGCCTAGTGGGATATAACCTAAGGAAAAAAAGAACTATAAAAAATATTTTGGACTGTTTTCAATAATCATAATATTCACACTGTTATTATTTACAGTTGTATAGTTTTATCATACAGCATACATGGAGCTCCATACATACATATATATATGGAGCTTAAAAAACATTGTGTGGGTGTTATGTGTCTATGTGTGTTAAAGAAAATAAGGAATTATGTCAATGTTGTTAGAAATCAAGATTTTTAGCGTAAGAAAAAAGATACAAATATAAAATCAAAGAAGCTGTGCAAAAACTTTGTAATATTAAATCTGAATTGAAAATATTAGTATGAACTCCTGGTTCTATCTATTGAAAAGGCCTATATGTTAACTCTGAGTTCATAATAATACACTGATCACTCTGGAAGGTTCCAAGGTAATCAGTTTACTATTCTGAAAACTGTTTTAAAAAAAAAGGTACCAAGCATTTCACTTGCCTTTCCTACATGGGTTGTATCTTAGAGTAACCAAACAGTTGATCCTAAGAACTTCTTCTTTAGAGAAATTTCCCAGTTTATAAAATGAGAAGGAATAGAATTATATTATCACTGTTTTGCTCATCTCTGGTTAAATAATGGATCTAGGCAATAGTCATCAATGGACAATAACATCACCAAAAGAGACAGTCAGGTATGAATTATAATCCACCTAACAGAAGTACATAAAACCTCCTAGGAAGTTTTCTTGCAAGCCAAAGAAACAATTATCAAAGGGAGAAAATAAAAACCTTGGCTCAGATCAAGCCCCTAGCTCTAACTGTCAGTTTATAGTAAATTCAGAAGAAAGAGAAATGTGTTAAACAATTCTATGAAATAAAATCAGCAAAATCCAGAACATAGAGGGCAGTATGGATTAAATAACCTGGTTTCTTCCAACAAATAAATTGTAATGAAAAGAAGAGGTAGTCAGAATCTATAGATTAAACTCAGTGGCACATTTGGTATCAACCAAATGGAAAGTGAACAGGTTGTTTGAACCCTGATTTGAACAAGTTTACATAAGAAAAAAAATTTTTAAGACAATCAGAGGAAAGCTGATCGAATATTTGAAGATAAAGAATTATTAATTCTTTTTTCTGTGTGAGTATGGTAGTGTGCTTTTGGTAAAGAAAAAGAGTCCTTATCCTTTAGGGATATATATCTATATATTTAGCAGGGGGAGCGTGTACATGTTGGGCTGTCGGGTGTCGAGTGAGTGGGAATATTCACTCAACATGACTGGCCATGAGTTGGCAACCACTGAAGCTGGGTGTTGGGCAAGGGGATATTTGTTACATTATTTTTATTCATGCTTGAAATTTTTCAGAATACATTTTTTTTTTTTAGATGAAGATTCACTCTTGTTGCCCAGGCTGCAGTGCAATGGCACAATCTCGGGTCACTGCAACCTCTACCTCCCAGGTTCAAGTGATTCTCCTGCCTCAGCTTCCCAAGAAGCTGGGTTTACAGGCACCTGCCACCACACTGAGCTAATTTTTTGCATTTTTGGTAGAGATGGGGTTTCACCTTGTTGGCCAGGCTGGTCTTAAACTCCTGACCTCAGGTGATCCACCCACCTCAGCCTCCCAAAGTGCTGGGATTACAGGCATGATACTGCGTCTGGCCATAAAAAAATATTTTTTAAAAAAGTCTTCGACTCTGGAACCTGGGCTTAATCTTAGCTCTACCACTGCTGTGACTTGATCATATTTCCTAATCTCTCTAAGCCTCAGTTTCTTTACCTATAAGTTAAATGTGCCTAACACATGAAAAGCATGTTAAAGGATGAGCTACTGTTACTAGGTCTTTTGCCTTCTAATTCAAAGCTCTTTCTACTGTGCCTCTTGCTTTTCTTTCTTTTTTGGATGGAGGCTTGCTCTGCCGCCCAGGCTGGAGTGCAACGGCACAATCTTGGGTCACTGCAACCTCCATCTCCTGGGTTCAAGTGATTCTCCTGCCTCAGCCTCCCGAGTAGCTGGGATTACAGGTGCCCACCACCACACCTGGCTAATTTTTGTATTTTTAGTAGAAACATCATAAATTTCACCATGGTGGCTGGTCTCCAACTCCTGACCTCAGGTGATCCACTTTTGGCCTCCCAAAGTGCTGGAATATTCTTTTAGATTAATCTGAAAGAGTCCTATTTTCTAGAACACAATACAAACTAATATTCATATGTAATATATGTGTATGTACATTTTAAAAATTAAAACAACATATCACATAAAGATAATCAAACTGACCAAACAATATTTTATAAACAGATTTTAAAACACTGCAATTATTAGTTACAGGTCTTATACACATTGCTGCAATATAGAGAACATACCTCTGTAATACTCTGAGTAGTTTCCTACTTTTGATGGGGTATTTCTTCTGAAGGTTGAGAAACGCCACATGAGTCCCCTTATCTGTGAGGCTACTAAATGCAGTATGATTTTCGGGCAGTTGTAGTAGAGAGCGCCAAATGAACATTCTGAAATAAAAGTATATTTTAACCCCCCCAAATTTTTTTTGAGTAAAATTGATGTAACATACAGATTTTAAATTGTACCTGTATTTTGTTGGATATTCACCATAGCCTTTTAATAAGATTTGTAAACGCTTTTTGTTTAATCCATCTGGTAATTCATTCTATAAAGAAAAAGACAGTACTAATAAATGACATAATCATTAAAACTGAAAAGGTGCCAAATGGTAATCTAGTTCCCCAGTGACTTTCTAACTTTAGAAAATAACTCACAGAAATATTTGTGTACCATAGGTCTTTTCCCCGCTCCCATTTCTCCCTCTTTTGAGCATGCATATACATAGCCAATAAAGTTCATGATATAGTATCTTCCCTAGATAAGCTTGACAAACTTTTTCTGTAAAGGGCCATGATTTGGTTTGGCTCTGTGTCCCCACCCAAATCTAATCTTGAATTATAATCCCCATAATCCCCACAGGAGGTGACTGGATCATGGGGGGCAGTTCCCCCATGCTAATCTCGTGATAGTGAGTTCTCAAGAGATCTGATGATTTTGTAAGTGTTTGACAGTTCCTCCTCCACATATTCCTCTCTCTCCGCCTGCTTCCCCTTCACCTTCTGCCTTCTGCCATGATTGTAAGTTTCCAGAGGCCTCTACAGCCATGCGGAATTGTGAGTCAATTAATCTTCCTTTCTTTATAAATTGACCAGTCTCAGGTACTATTCTTTATAGCAGTGTGAAAACGGGCTGATACAGACCAGTTAGTAAATATTTTAGGTTTTGTGGGCCAAGAAGAAAAATCAAGAATATTATACATTTATATATAACCACTTAAAAATCCAAAAACCATTTTCAGCTTGAATAGCTGAATTAAGCCCCTGGACTGTCATTTGCTGAACCCTGCATCAAAGACATGATGAGCCTTTTACTTCCCGAAGTTATTCATGACCATTCCCACCAGTTTTCCCAGAAAAGGTCCTGCAAACTCTCAGGAAAGCTGAAGTTAAAAAGTCTCAGAGATATCATTCAGCTTATCTTTGCATTAAAGCACTCATCAAATAGAAACAAAATTGCCCAGTCTTTACACAACTAGGCTAGGCTTGTGTCTGCTATTCAGTTTTTTCTTTAAAGAAATAACATTTTGTTTAGAGTTACATGAAGAGGTTATAAAACTACAAAGAAAATCAAGGGCATAATTAACACAAAAGTGAGGAAAACGGTTTATTTATATATATATATATATATATATATATATATATATATGGAGCAGGGTACCTACAGAACCCAGCCTCTAGTAAAAATCTTGGGCACCAGGTCTCTAATGTTTACATTAGAGGTAATATTGAACCCTAAATATATTTATGTTTTTCCCCATATATACATACTTGTAATAAAGTTTAATTTATAAATTAGGCACAGTAAGAGATTAACAATCATAACTGATACTAACATAGAACAATTCTGACAATATGTGAATATCGGTACTTTTGTGCTCTGGAGAAGATTCTAAGTAAAATAAGTGTTACTTGAATGAACACAAGCACTGTGATACTGTGACAGACCTGATAAGCAAGAGGCTACTGAGTGACTATGCCCCATAAAATGATGATTCATGTGCCAGGTGGAACAGAGCAAGATGGCATGAGACTTCATCATGCTACTCAGAATGGTGTACAATTTAAAACCTATGAATTGCTTATTTCTGAAATATTCCTTTTAATGTACTTGGAGTACAGTTGACTACGTGTAACCAAAACAATGGAAAATGAAACCATGGATCAGGAAGGACACTGTACTAAAATCAATGTGAAAAGTATCAGGTATTATTAGTGAGAATATGGAGCAACTAGAACTCTGAAATACTGCTGGTAGGAATGTAAATCAACAACTTTTCAATCAACCACTTAGGAAAACTGACAGTATTTACTAAACTAATCTACAGCGTATCAGTAGAATAGTTATTATCGGGGTAAGGGAGAGAGCGAGTGTGGAATGGAGCAGGAAGCTGATGGTAATGCCCCAGTTTTTGATCCAGGTGCTGGTAACATGGCATGTGCAGTTTGTGAAAGTTTGCTGAGTGATGTGTATACTTAATGTGTACTTTGTATATATGTGTGTATATATTTGTCATTAAAAAGTTTTAAAATCCCTTGAAAATAATGTAACTTCTCTATTAATAGCCATTATTTCCTTTCTTTCTCAAAGTAATATGGCTGAGTGTGGCACCTCATGCTCGTAATCACAGCACTTTGGGAGGCTGAGGTGAGAAGACCACTCGAGGACAGGAGTAAGACCAGCCTGTGCATAATTTCATTTACAACTTTATTCTCTTCATTTATTCTCTTTCTTTAATTCCCAAGAGAGGGAAGAGTGGTGATGACTTGGAAATCACAAGACTTGTCTATAGCAGAGTCACAACAAATAAAATTTAATTACCAAATATTCTTACCTTTTTACTCTCAAAATTACCAGTCACGTCTTGTTTTAATATTCTAGTTTGTATTTTGCTTTCCCTAGACTTTGCTGGCTGCTGTACTCTTCCTGATGTTACTTTCATCTTAAGATCACTGGAACTCAGTTTATTCTTAGGCAAATCTTCAATAACTTTCACTAAAGGCGGAGGTGGCTAAATGGAAAAATAAATATACATATTCTAATGGATATCCTTGGAAGAGAGACCTGTTAATATATGACTTTCAAAATTTGCTTTAATAACATGTCTTAATATGCAGAATTATTCTTCAGGCAAAAAACCTAAGTAAAATGTCTAGGAACATTTGCTTTGACTAAAAAATCAAAGCAAATTTCTGCCGAATTCCTTTGAAGAACATAATATACATGATTAACAACAGAAATAAATATAATTATTCCTTGAAAGCCGATCTTAAATCATTTAATACCAAACCATGTTTACACATACATGATAAAGTTAGTATGTGATTATTATCCACAGCAAAAAAAGGCACAGTTAGAGAGGTACGGCCCTCTAGAATTCTGGCAAAAGTACCCTAATATTCTCTGAGCTAAGAGGAAACTGTCAAGTGACTTTCTTCTAGAAGCATGAAACCTCTGCCTCTCTATCCCTTGGTTGAATGTTTTAATCTGCTTAGCGATCTGTATTATTTCCTTATTGTATCAACAGCTTAAACAGTTTGGACAATGTGACTTAGAATCTGTACCTTCATCTTTATGGGGCCCATCAAACAGGGAGAAAAACCTGAACAACATCAATCTACTTAAAGTAACATTACTCCCTAGAACATTTTCTCCATAAATAATTTTCTTTGAAATCAAAAGATCTTCGTTCTTCAAAAGAAGTGAGCAAATAAGGTAACTCAGGCTTTCTAAGTTCTAAATACAATTCAAGCACTATGACCATTTATAGTTTATGATTCAAGTCTTTACTTCATCTATGGGATGAGATTAATAGTGGTCTGACTTATGAATATTACCCATCTTTAATATCCTTAAACTATTTTATGACTTCAATCCATTCTTCTAAATTTTAATTAAAATTTCCATCTAATGTCACAATTTCCCGTTTGAGCCTTATCCTCTACCATAAGTATAACTTCCCAAAAAGAACCTGAGAATGACCTGATTTGACATACCTTTGTACTGTTAAACCTTCAACACATAAGAATTCATTTACTCTATTACCACAATACCAGAAATTCTCCGATGACAAGAAAGTAAAACTGGTAAGAATGGGACGAAGGTGAGTTAGATTTATAGAGAATAGAGAGCTGAAGATTAATGCAGGCCGAAACAGCCAAAAGACAGATGGTATTGGTAATGTGTCCAAAAAATAAGATCATTCTACTTCTAAGCTAGTTTTTCTATTCATGTGATCTCAATTTGCTCAACGGATAACAAGCAGAAAGGAACTAAATGACTCACTCTTACCATAGTTTTTCTCAGATCTCTGCCTGCCTCTATGAAGAAAGTTTAGCTAGTACTGTAAAACTGACTATTCAAAGAGGCTGAAAACTCTCTCAGTAAGAGCAGATATTAATACATTTAAAAAACTTTATTAATATATAGCACATATTATAATGTAAATATATATAGTAATATATAATGATATAAAGAACAAAAGAGCAGCAGAGTATAATCCTGCATGTTTAGAGAAAATGTATGCACACACACACACAGACGCATGTGTACTTGCACGCACACACAAACATATATATACAGTGAATTCTATCTGCAGTGGTTCTGTAAAGTCCCCAAGAACACTCAATTAGTGAATACTGAAACACTGCTCCTGGGGAAACATGGAGTCCAGCTCCTGAGAGCCTCATCAACCATTCAATGAATAACCTTGTTCTATGTGTTTCTGTTTACAGACATCTTATTTAACTCATATCGTTGATTTGTTATCACTGAACTCACAGCTAACAGCACTACAATTCATTCCTGAATGAGTTTACCTAACACACGTATTTTCTCTGTAAGGTACGCCACAGCCTCCTGTGTTTAGAAACAATAAATAGTGCTTCAGCGCTATGCTTGGGGACCTCTTTAAACAGTAAAATCTTAACAAGAAGCTTCAAAATGCAAAAAATAAAAATAAAAAGGCATTAAGTAGACGACAAATAGGGTACTTATTTAAACTATGAGAGCTGAAATAAGAACATGGAGTGTTGCCTCGTTTGACTTCAGCAGGGAGAAAGGGTATCAGGTGACTCAAATTTTTCAGTGCTCTGTGCATGTCCCTGAATGACCACGAATGCACTGCAGTATTAATCTTGAAGTTGCAAATATATTTTAGTGGGTAGGAGAATTCTCATGTATAGAATGCACAAATAATGAGGAGTGACTGTATATTTACACACATAGAAAAGAAATTGGGAAAGTATAAATCAGAACCATCTGAGAATGGTGTGGTGAGGCTTTCAGTGATTTGTATTTGCCTATTTGCTATTCTGTATATTCCTTTTTTTTTCTGCAATGAGACACTAACTACTTGTATAATTTTTTTAAAAGATAAAGAAAACAAAAAGGAGGCAGTGTTGTGAACTGAACGCGAGCCCGGGAATCTCGTCCAGCGAGAGGGTCCCAAACCTGGAAGACAGCGTGCACAGAAAGAAAGGAGAAAGAAAAGAGCCAGGTCTGGAGGGCCACATGAGCTATGTTCATGCAGCAATTTTTTTTTGCAATAGGTTCCATTATATAGTTTTCTGCTTAATGTTGTTTACATCAGATCAGAATACTTAAGTCAAGTCACAAGGTAAGCAAGTTAAGCCCACTAAGTAAGTTACGCCCAGTAAGTAAGTTACACCTAGTAAGTAACTTATGCCCAGTAAGTAGGTTACGCCCAATAAGTCAAGGTAAGTAAGTTACACCCAGTATATACTTAAGTTAATATTTTACAACGAATGTAACAAGGGTCCAAAATGAACACAATGAGACAATTAACCATAAGGAGCGGAAAGTGGACACAATGCTTCCCAAGTCCTCATATCCATAAAGTAATGTCTGTTAATTATTTTGAATAGCATAGTCCCTCTCTCGGTTCCTGCTATCCCTCAGCTCTACTCCCCCAACCGGGGATCGGTGTCTGGGCTCAAGCTCACGGTATGGAGAGGCCCATTTCCTAGGGGCCTCACACGGGAGCGATCCCCACAGATCCCTCAAGGTGGTATATAAAAAAAAGAAGGTATTAGGAATCAGAACACCACGGCCATGCTACTTCAAATGCGCCCAATCTCATGTGACCTTGGAAGAATTGGAACACCCAGAACTGCTAGTTACTAGCTACGTGATTAAGTTTGAGAATGAACTTCTTCCTGTGTAAAATAAAAGGGCGACACTAGGTGATCATCAAAGTCTCTGTGAGGGTCACTGTGGTGCTGTTCCAGACTGGAAGACACATGGACAATATGACTTGTTAGCTGGGGCAATTTTAGATAAGCAGAGAAGAGGAGTGAGGTGTGCATTTTAGTGAAATGAATGGTGTGGATTATAGACGCAGAAATAAGGATGGTGTCTATGGGGGATAATGAGGGAAGTTGTAAGTTGGAGGAAGTAAGTTAGATAGGTAGACAAGATGAGAGAGAACACTGAGAGCCAGGCAGAAGGGCCTGGACTTAATTCAACAAACACAGGAAGGAAGCACTGAAGTGACATTAGTTAAGAAATGATAATTAATTGTTTTAGAATATGAAAGGATGGGCACGGCAGGCACTGAGGGCCAAGTTTAAGATCTTTCCTCCCTCCCCTCCCCTCTTCTCCTCTCCTTTCTTTCCCTCCCTCCCTCCTTCCCTCCCTCCCTTCCTTCCTTCAAGTTTAAGGTCTTTCTTTTTCTTTCCTTTCCTTCCCTCCCTCACTCCCTTCCTTCCTCCCTCCTTCCCTCTCTCTCTCTCTTTCTTTCTGAGGCAGAGTTTTGCTCTTGCAGCCCAGGCTGGAGTGCAATGGCTTGGTCTCAGCTCACCACTACCTCTGCCTCCTGGGTTCAAGCAATTCTCCTTCCTCAGCCTCCCAAGTATAGTACCTACCATGCCCAGCTAATTCTGTATTTTTAGTAAAGACAGGGTTTCTCCATGTTGGTCAGGCTGGTCTCCAACTCATGACCTCAGGTGATCCACCTGCCTCAGCCTCCCAAAATGCGGGGATTGCAGGCATGAGCCACCATGCCTGGCCTAAATTTAAGATATTTCTTTAAATTACTGTTAGTCTAGAGTAGTTAATGAAGACCAATACAAGGATAGCAATTATGAAGGTGAAGAATAGGTAGCACATTTATAGATACCTCAAATTTAAGAAGTTACATGACTTAGTATTGACTGGTTTTAGGAAATAAAGGGATGGGAAGTCACAGAGCTTCAAGGTTTCTAGCCTAAGAGTCGGGAAGAAAACATGAGACAAAAATGAAGAAACCAGGATTGAAGAACTCATGGGAAGGAGATAACAAGTAACACCTTAAATGAGAGAGAGACATCAAACAGAGATGTCCTCCAGAACGGCAGCAATTTAAGAATGGAGCATATGTGACAAATCAAGGCCAGAAATGTGGCTTTGGAAGTCAGAGCAACAAAATACATCCAGAAAAAGGGTAAGTTCCAGCTAAGTTAGAAATAGCAGCATCAGGATTTTATTCTCGATGATACAATATTTAAGTGTTTTTACAAAGCTGATGTTGATTACTTGATCATACATACCTTATTTATTTCTTGTGTTAAAGCCTGAACTGAGTATATGTTTAGACTTCCATTTTCCACAATAGATGCAATGTACCGTCCATGTGGGCTAATCACTGCTGAGCTAATTCCTTCATCAAGGCTCCCAATCTCAAAGAGCAGTTTACAAGTCTGTGTATTGATAAATCTCATAATACCATCTTGACTTAGTACTCCAAGAACCTAAGAGTAGGGAAAAAGATCCATAAATTCCGAAAAACATGTGATAGTCAAATGTCTGAAAGTTAAACTATATACACATGTCTTTATATGTAGGCGATGTTTGTGTGTGTGTGTGTGTGTGTGTGTATTTTGAGGGGGACACCTAGGGAAAATTCTATTCTCAGTAAGATGTTATATATTTTATTTTATTATTATTATCATTTTTGAGATGGAGTTTCACTCTTGTTGCCCAGGCTGGAGTGCAATGGCATGATCTCCACTCACTGCGACCTCCACCTCCTGGGTTCAAGTGATTCTCCAGCCTCAGCCTCCCGAGTAGCTGGAATTACAAGTGTGCATCACCATACCTGGCTAACTTTTGTATTTTTAGTAGAGATGGGGTTTCACCAGGTTGGCCAGGCTGCTGCTCTCAAACTCCTGAAGTCAGGTGGTCTGCCCATCTCAGCCTCACAAAGTGTTGGGATTACAGGTGTGAGTCACTGTGCCCGGCCTGATATTATATATTTTAAAATCACAACTTATGGCACATGTTGATTATGCTCTGACTCTAACCAGAATCAGCAAGGAACTCATCATGGTGGACTATGGAAAGGTACCCAAAGAATCTTCCTTTCCCACAGGTAGATCATGCCCACTGACGACATATATGGAGGACAGAGAGGATTAGACAATGCCATAATTTTAATGTGTCTCTCCAACAGCAAATATTAGAAACGTAATCCCCAATGCAACAGTGCTGACAGACAGGGCCTAATAAGAGGTGATCAGGGCATCAGGGCTCTGCCCTCATGAAAGGATTAATAGTATTATTGTGGGAGTGGGTTTGGTGTAAAAGGATGAGTTTGGGTTCCTCTTGTCTCCTCTCATTCCTCCCTCCCTCTCTCACCCATATGATGCCTTCTACTATATTATGACAGAGAACAAAGGCCTTCAAAAGATGCCAGCCTCTAGATCTTGGACTTCCCAGCCTCCAGAACTGTGAGAAATAAACTTATATTGCTTATAACTTACCCAGTCTGTGGTATTCCAGTACAGTACCACAAAACAGACTAAGTCAGTTCCTAACTTTCACCACAAGGGCTACCAGAAACAAGGAGGGTGGAGGGTTTGCCTTCCTGTACCCTTTCCATAGCTAGTCGGAGCTAACATCAGTCCTGCTGCCCTCACACAAACCTGTGGCACCCACTGAGGCTCCCCACTGTCTGCCTGTTTTCAGCAAATATTTTAACTAACATTTGGAGAATGGAGAGGCTGTGAGATGCAGGTGTAGGAGGGAAGCTAGTCTTTTAAGGGGGAAAAATAGTTTAAATTTTAACTCATTATTTAAAAAATCAGAAACACATAATTAAAAAGTTTAAGCAAGTAAACCCCCGTGCTGCCTCGTCTAAGTGCAGGTTCTCTTCCCAGTGCCAGTGGCTGGTAAGCGATGCCACCATGTGATTGCTTGAAATGCTGATGTCACTTATCATACGAAAGACTGCAGAAGGCAGTTTGGAGGTAACTATAAAGTTCTTCTGTTGGTTGGCTTGCAGAAAGCGAAGTCCCTCATCAGCAGTTGATACAACTCCTCTGGAAGTCATCTGGGCAAGATCTACCCAAATTACAGATGCACATAACCTCTAAGCCACTATTTCAACTCTGGGATTTTATCCTATAAAAAGGATGTGTGAAATGACACTTGTGAAAAGTTATTCAGTGCAGCAGTATTTGTAATAGAAAAGGACTAAAAAGAGGTTAAGTGCCAATAGGAGACTGTTTAAAAAAATAAACTGCAACACTATGCAGCTGTAAAAAAGAAAGAAGTTCTGCATTGTTATAAAACAGTTTCCAACTTAAGAATAAAAGGCAGACTGTGCGCAATGGCTCATATCTATAATCCCAGCACTTTGGAAGGCTGAGATGGGTGAATCACTTGAGGTCAGGAGTTCGAGACCAGCCTGGCCAATATGGTTAAATTCCCTCTTTACTAAACATACAAAAATTAGCCAAGCATGGTGGTGCATGCCTGTAGTCCCAGCTACTTGGGAGACTGAGGAGAATCGCCTGAGTCTGGGAGGCGGAGGATGCAGTGAGCCGAGATTGCACCACTGCACTCCAAGCTGGGACACAGAGCTAGACTCCATCTCAAAACAACAATAAAAAAAACAAAGAATAAAAGGTACAAGGCTGTATAAAATAATGGGAAGAACATAACACTATATACAACAACAGTGTATATGGGGAGGGGGGTGAACAACTAGACAAATGGTAGAAAGGCATGACAGACTTCTCACTGTATGCCATTTCATGTTTTCAACCATGTGAATATATAACCTAATCAAAAACATAAGTAAAATAGACATGATACATACATACATGCATATGTATACATACATACATAAAACATATATCTAATCTCTTAAAATACAAAATCTATGACAGTCTATTTGAAATAAGGAAGTTAAGGTTTGACAGAACTCAGCTCTTAAAAAGGAATAAAGTGGAGGGGGCTGGGGGAAGAAGTGCTCTGTAAACTAGGGAAAGATACCAACAAAATCATGTTCACAGGAGTGAGCAACCAGTTAGGGCAAACAGAAGAACAACACAATGAAAAACTTTTAGGTCTAGTCCAATCTTTAATCCTTACAATTAACAGGAATGTTGGTAAGTCCATGTTTCTAGGTATTAGTGTTATAATCTGTAAAATGGGGAGAATACCTTTCCTGCCTATGCTCAAAGAATTAAGGAGCAAATGAAAAATAACATGCTAAATACAGCTCACTGCAAACCATAAAGCACAACATAGATTTACAGTATGTTGATTTTATAAAAAGGGCAAACTGTCAATAAAGAATACAAGATTTTGAAATTTTTTTAAAATTCTAGACTCTTCACAAAAGTAACATATTTATAATTTCAAATTCTCGTAACAGCCAGGGTGTAAGTTAAATAATTAAGCGTTAATATAGTTCAGAGATGGATTCCTTCTTTCTTTAAAAGTACAGTGCCCTACATTTATGTTACTAACCTGATTAGAACCAGCATCAAAACTATCAGGAAGAAATTCTAGATGGCGAACGGCTCGAACTTTAGTGGGCATCTGGATAATTCTAAAGAGCTGTCTAGCTTCTAAACACCACAAATGAAGATGATTTGACTTGCCTCCAGCAGCCAGGATTCGGCCATCTCTAGGTAACAAAGAAGTAAAACAGGTTCAACTGTTTATAGCAGCACTGTACAAAAGAACTTTCTGTGATGACAGAAATGTGCTGTATCTATGCTATCCAATATGGTCACACTAGTCACACGTGATTACTGAGCACCTGAAATGTGGCTAATGCTAATGAGGACATTATTTTTAAATTTTATTTAATTTGTATTAATTTAAACAACTGCATGGACAGCTCGGATTTATAGTATATATTTTTTGCCTACTGTGCTGTAAGGCACCAGTTTAACAAACATTTGTTTAATGACCTGATTGTAGGTTTTCTACCTAACACTTCCATTTTATAGTATAATATCAAAGTCACTTATTACTATTCCAACTTTCTATATTTCACATACAGTTATACAGAATTGATGGTAGATGACTATATGAAAAAACAAAACAGCCCAAACTTTCTTCCTGCTCAAAGAAAGCTACCTTAATAAAGTACAAAAAGAATAAGTTGTTTTGACTTGCAAGGTCATTGCTCATTCATTCAACAAAAACTTGTAAAGGACTTACCAACTTTTAAAAAGTGTGATAATACTATGATTATGTTTTAAGTATCTGCTATAAGCCAGCTAGGGTTCCAGAAGCCAGAGACACAGTCAGTTACGACTGCACAAATCAAGTAATCCTGCTCTTACAGGATTTTCAGTCTAGAGGAAGGCAAAGAAACAAATAGATGAACTTGATCAGAGCTGGTGATAAGTTCTATACAGAACTATAAAAAAGGTGATGAAAGCTGGGAAAGGGTCCGATCGGCTACTTGAATGACACAAATAGGCCAGTCATGGGATGATCTGGAGGAAGGATTTTATCCTGATCAGTGTTCCAAACTGGCTGGAATAGCCAGTTACGAGGTTACTCAAGTGCACTGCTATATGAAATGCACTGCCATACTACAATGTGGCTAGAGCAGACCAAGAGGAAGGAAAGGAGACGAAGTGAGGAAGGCCTAGGCCAGATGACAGAAGGCCTCAGGGGAAATTAGGAGTTTCAGGTTGGATTTTACTCTAAGTGATGAAGGCAGTTAAATAGGAAAGTGACATGATCTGACTTACTGATTTACAAAAACCACTTTATCTGCTGTGCAGAGAATGACTATAGGAAATGAGATTGAAAACAGGGAGAACAAATGAAAAGGCTATTATAGCAGTCTAAAAGAGGCTAGGGTAGCTTGGATTAGGGTAATAACCACAGAATAAAAACAAAATGACCAATTCGATGGTTTGGTTGAGTTGATGGGATTTACTGATGACAGAAGAACAAGGTGAGAGAAGAGAGGAATTAACATCCATTTCGTAGCTCCCCTAACAAGGCTAGAAACAATGATCAGCCCAGTACAAACGAGAACCCCTAGCATCCAGATTAGGGTCTTGAAATACCATTTCCCACAAAAAGAACCTAGACTCTTCAGAGAAATGGCTAATTCCAGAGTTAGGGCAGGAATTGTACAAGATAAGCTTGGAACATCTTGTCATACCAGAAAGCACGAAAGCTATCACAGGCAACTGGAGTTGTACTCAAAGGATGCCAAAGCCAACTCAAAGAGGATCCTACTAGTCAAAGATGAGAGAACTGGAACATCTCTAAGAATGACAACTGCAATACATTAAAACACGCCAACAGTGTGACAGGTAATATATCTGGGGATTTGGTCGGGCACGGTGGCTCACACCTGAATCCCAGTACTTTGGGAGGCCCAGGCGGGCGGATCACCTTGAGGTTGGGAGTTCGAGACCAGCCTGACCAACTTCCCTAGTCAGCCTGACTTGACTAGGGAACCACAGGGTTTTTTGATGCCTGAGCTAATCCTGTGCCTAACAGTTTATTTAAATCTTAATGCTAATGTTAATTGGTTCAAAGATGGTTAACCTTTTAAGAAAACACTGTGTGGTATTTTAACGTGGTAAACATGTGAATGAAGGCCTTTGGCTCAGTTAATCACTCCCACAATTTTGAGCTGTGGGTTTTACTGGTGCAAAAAACTTTAACAGGCCTTCACTCTTGTCATTAGATATCAGAGAACTGAAATGGGTTGGAATTGTAAGCAGTAAATAGATGTGTTGTTAGAATGATTCCATCATGTATACATTGTTTAAAATTCTAATAAACTTCCTTTGTAAGAAGCAAACAAACAAAATAAACAAAAAGCACGTCAACTACTCTAAGCCTATGAGTTTACAAAGATTAAAGATAAAAAAAACTTCATCGGCCACCTTTGAAAGATGGCAATAAACCAATTCATTCCTCTGAAAACTAGTTTAAGAAAAAGGAGGAGAAAAATAAGCATTTATCCTGCCTTTCCTTTACAACCGTACATTAAAATGACCAAAGGGTTGATGAGAGGACTTTTCTTTCTACGGAAAGTTTCTAGTTGATAAGCGAAGAAGAAATAAGAGAATTAGAACAGCCCCATTTTGCTAACTTCTAAGGCTGTACTGGATCTGGGTAATGATCATCAATGGCTACAGACATCTAACAAGAAACTGTTCTACGATGTTCCTGATGAAAGTACACAAACCACCTATAATGCCTTCTTGTCCTTAAATCAGATCAAGCCTCCAGTTTTTAAGAAATACAGGTATAACCAGTGCACAGGAAAAATACAGATAACAGAGGATCATATTAAACAACACCATGTGAAGACAGAGAGGAAAATCCAGACTACAGAAAACTTTAGAGAAATGACTAGTTATTTAATAAATAAACTCCAAGGAAAAAACAGAAGACAAATATATCAACAAAATACAATGTGTGAACCTTGTTTTGCTTCTTACTCAAACAAATCAATGATAAAAACCAGTTATTAGAAAAATTAAGGAAGTTTCAACAATGACTAGCTATATGACAATATTAAGACATAAACGAAAATTTATAATTTTTTACTAGAAATTAAACTTCTTAAATATTCCTAGTGTCTTAAAACTCACATTACCTGGTCACAGCAAACACTTTGTATAATATACTAGAGCTTTCGGGTGGAGCTGGCAGTTGATATTTGCAAAAAAGTGTGTCACATTCCCAGGCAAAAATGGAATTATCTTTAAAACAGCTGAGGATGGTATTACTTAATGGTAGAAAGAAGACCTAAGGAGAAATAGAAACAGTTAGTTTTCACATAAGACTAATAGCACTCTTTAAATTTAAAAGTATACAAGTAGTTATTTTTCTTTATTAAAATATTTTTTTCGTAAGCTGGAGAAAAAAACATTTCTAATATATGATAAGGGCTAATACTGATTATTTCATAAATTATTATTAACTAAAAAAAAAAAAAACCCTTAAACAAAAACTGGGTATACTATAAGGACTAGGCAAGTCACAAAATTCTAAATGACAGTTTAAAAATTTTCACCTATTATTATTAAAGAGTTAAATGAAAACAAGATATAGTTTTGAATATCAATTTTACTTTAAAAATAAAGCACACTCGGCTGGGCATGGTGGCTCAGGCCTGTAATCCCAGCACTTTGGGAGGCTGAGGCAGGCAGATCACCTGAGGCCAGGAGTTCCAGACCAGCCTGGCCAACATGGTGAAACCCCGTCTCTAAAAATAAAAAAATTTTAAAAATAAAAAATAAAAAAATAAAGCACACTGGCCAGGTGCAGCGGCTGACACCTGTAATCCCAGCACTTTGGGAGGCTGGGACAGGTAGATCACTTAAGGTCAAGGGTTTGAGACCAGCCTGGCCAAAATGGTGAAGCCCCATCTCTACTAAAAATACAAAAATTAGCCAGCCATGGTGATGGGCATCTGTAATCCCAGTTACTCAAGAGGTTGAGGCATGAACCTGGGAGGTGGAGGTTGCAGTGAGCTGAGATTGCACCACTGCACTCCAGTCTGGACGACAAGAGTGAAACTCCATCTCCAGAAAAAAAAAGTCCTTTGGGAATAATGGGCAAAGTGTTTTAAGGTAAGTGTATGTTAAGCATTTTTTTTTTTTTTTTTTTTTTTAGGGAAAAAGAGAAAAAGAAGGGGAAAAAAAGAAAAAGAGGGAAAAAGGAATATTACTTCATTCCTAAAATGGGTTTCAATAATGGCCGATCAATATTTTGAGTGTTTAAAGTGGCTAATGCATATTTTATGTGTTTAAAATGGGGACCTCTATTGTGTTTATTTGTTCTGGCTCTGAGTTCAAGTCCTGGATATCGTTATCAATTTGTTGTCGCGTTGAATCTAAATCTCATTATGTGTCTTATGTATCTGGGTGTTAAGATCTCTTATTGTTACATTAATCCTTTTAGTTAAGCATTTTTTATAAGAGTAAAAAGTTGGAAACACATATGTAACCCTATCTTATTAGAGATTCAGGTTATTTAATGGACAACTGAGAATGAAACTGATAGCAAAGTGGAAAATCTCATTGTTTTATTCTCCTAATTTCCATAAGCATTAACAATGCTTACTTTTGTTAATAAAAAAATTATTAATGGAAATTAATATTTTCTCATAAAAGTTTCAGTGGCCTCGAATATAATTTTGTGTGTCTTCTGTACAAAACACACACATATATAGTGCACTATAGAACATACTGGTTAATTAAAATAATCTACTCAGGATTAATGCCACTAAGACAATAACAAATACTCAACTACAGCAGATACTGACGTATCAGGCAAGGGCCTGATCAAGCTCCTCACTTCTTCGTTGGCTCACTTTGCTAAAGACAATCTCTGGTAGATCTTTTGCTATCAGATTCACTGTTAGGAAGATTTATAATATGAAGGCCTTATAGATTTCTATGATGTATAATAAATGCATTAAATCACTGTTTCAAAAATGATGTCAAAAAGGGACTTAAGAAAATTCTTATTATAATTAGCAGTCTTTTTTTTGGAAAAGTAATAAAGTGTATTCCTACAGGGAAAAGTAAAAGCTTAAAAGTTAATGAGCATCAACTGCTATTTTGGCAGAATAGCTGTGACAGATTATTGCCTACATGATTATTCATTATGAGATTTGTGATTTTAATTGCCAGATTTTAATGATTATAAAATTGTTCCTAATGAAGCATATCATTATTATTTAGATAGTGTCATCTCTTGAGAAACATAAAAAACTTAGGAAAAACTTCAAAACATTAACAAAATATACTTTTTGGGAGGTTAGGTTCAAGGAGGGGGCTGCAGTTTTTCCTTGCAGAATACAAAAATCCTAAGCTTTCCAATTTAGTTTTAGGAGACAGATGAACCCTTTTCAAGATAGGTTTGTTTGTTTGTTTTATTTATTTTGAGACAGAGTCTCCCTCTGTCACCCAGGTTGGAGTGCCGTTGCTCAATCCGGGCTCACTGGAATCTCCCAAGTGATTCTTGTGCTTCAGCCTCCCAAGCAGCTGGGGCTACGGCACATGCTACCATTCCCAGCCAATTTTTTATATATTTTAGTAGAGACAGGGTTTCACCATGTTGGCCAGACTGGTCCAGAACTCCTGGCCTCAAGTGACCCGCCTGCCTTGGCCTCCCAAAGTGCTGGGATTACAGGTGTGAGCCACTGTGCCTGGCCCTTTTGCAAGGTTTAAAGAATTTAGGATAGTAATATTAGCAATGTATCAACAATCAAATGTATTATTTGGCAGAAATTTAGTGAGTGTCCTGGGTACACTGGCTGAATTAAGTTCAGCAAAACACCCTTTATTAGATGTTTTCTGATATCCATCACAAAGCCTTTTCTGATACCTACTGAACTACAATAATCACAAATTCTGGAGATTCCAAAATCCCTAACTAATGAGCTAAATATCTTACCTCCAAGCATCAACAAAAGAATAAAAATGCACTAATTTGAAGAGGTAGAACCGGTTTACTTGGGAAGTAGTGAGGCTTTAGATAAAGAAGGCTTTAGATAAAGATAGGTTTGAAATTGAACTGCAACTCTCTTCTAAACTACGTGATACTGAACAAATTACTTAATATTTCTGGACAAATTACTTAATATTTCTGAACTTTGGTTTCCTTTCTTGTAAAATGGGGATAATAGTATCTACTCTTTAGGATTAAAGCTTTAAAATAACTATGTAAAATGCTAGGTTCATGGAACGTACTGAACAACTGGTATCTATTACTATTACTACTAATTACTACTATTACCGCTTACAAAAATCAGTGAAAAAGACACTCTGAAATCAAAGATCCATAGTTCCTTTTCGTATACCCTTGGGGCCAAATGTGTTTCAGAATTCAGATTTCCAATTTTAGATAGGTAGTATGATGTATATTCTATAACATTATGTAGAACCCCCAGAAAACCTGGGCAACACCCCATACTCAAATCTATTAATATTTGTCTCATGTCAATTCAGTTCAGATTTTGCTGCCAAATGAATTGAGGTCAGACTGCATTTTGCCACTGAGTTATGTGAACACCTTGGGTTTCTGAATTGTTAATATAATGTAGCCAAAAAAATGAATGAATAACATTTAGCCTACAGTTTTATTTTTTTGAGATAGGAGCTCGCTCTGTTGCCCAGGCTGCAGCACAGTGGTGTGATCTTGGCTCACTGCAACCTCCGCCTCCTAGGTTCAAGCGATTCTTGTGTCTTGAAGGCACAAGACACCCACCACCACACTCGGCTAGTTTTTGTATTTTTTTGTAGAGAGACAAGGTTTTGCCATGTTGCCCAGGCTGGTCTCAAACTGCTGGGCCCAGTGGAATCTCCCAAATGATTTTCGTGCCTCTTAAAGTCAGCCTGCCTCTTTAAGTGTTGGGATTACAGCCATGAGACAACGTACCTGGCACCCCACAGCTTTTTAAGAAAATTATCTAATTGCACTGAGATAATCCTATAATAGGCTTGACAGCAACAGCTGCAATTTTACCAAGCACTTACTACACAACCAGCACTGTGCTAACTTTGTATAGATTATCACACTCAATGCTGAAACTCACCCTGAGGGAGGTACTTAAAGGCTGAGGATTCCTTATGCAAAATGTGTGGAACAAGAAATGCTCTGGATTTTTTTGGACTTTGGAATATTTGCATTATATTTACCAGTTGAGTATACCTAATCCGAAAATCTGAAATCTGAAATGTTCCAATGAGCATTTCCTTTGAGCTTAATATTTGAGCATCATGCTGGCTCTCAAAATGTTTCCAATTTTGGAGCATTTGGGATTTCAGATTTTTGAATTGGGAATGCTCAATCTGTATTTGTGACTGTTTGTATGCTACACATACGGTAAATAGTTTGTCAAAAATGTTTAGCATGAATCTACTCGAGCCTTTAGATTTAACGTCTAGTTTACAGAAAATGAGGGTGAAAGACAGAGAAGTTAAACAACACTGATGAAACAGAAAACACGACTCCAGAATGTGGGGCATTTTCTAAGATAACTGATCTGATTGCTCCAAAAAATCGATGTCATGAGAAAAAAAGTGGGAGACAATGTGAGATTGAAGGAGACATCATAAAATGAAACCCGTGACAAAAGACCCAAAGCAAGTCACTTTAATGGCCTCATGTGTCATCAAAACAAATGAATAAAGTTCTATTTAAAATATAGAATCAGAATCTGTAATAAAAATGAGTTTAGTAAGAATTTGATAAGAATTAACATTTTCAGGGGCACATGTTCTCAGAATCTCTTGAGGGCTGTGTCACGGGAGAAAAAAATAAAAAGTAATGTTGGCTGGGCCTGTAATCCCAGCACTTTGGGAGGCTGAGGCGGGTGGATCATGAGGTCAGGAGTTCAAGACCAGCCTGACCAACATGGTGAAATCTCATCCCTACTAAAAATACAAAAATTAGCTGGGCGCGGTGGCTCATGCCTGTAATCCCAGCTACTCAGGAGGCTGAGGCAGGAGACTTGCCTGAACCTGGGAGGCGAAGGTTGCAGCGAGCCAAGATCGTGCCACTGTACTCCAGCCTGGGCAACAGAGTCAGATTTTGTCTCAAAAAACAAAAACACAAACAAAAAGCCTAATGTTTTACTTTAATATTGAGCTTACAGTTATTTCCTGTTTTCAACAAAAGTGGTCAACACCTGGCCCATCTCCAGTCTTTGTACAGCCCAGGAGCTAAGAATGGTCACTTTATTTTTTTTTCCCCAAGATGGGTCTCACTGTGTTACCCATCTTGGTCTTGAATTCTTGGGCTCAGGGGATTCTCTCACGGTAGCTTTCAGAGTAGCTGGGTAACTGGCTTTAAATGGTTTCATTACATTCTGAATAGTTATATAATTTTGCTCTTGAACTGCAAAGTTAAAAATTATTTACTGGTCCTTTAAGAAAAATGTGCTGAGCCAGGCATGGTGGCTCATGCCTGTAATCCCAGCACTTTGGGAGGCTGAGGTGGGCGGATCACCCAAGGTCGGGAGTTTGAGACTAGCCTGGCCAAAATGGAGAAACCCCATCTCTACTAAAAATATACAAAATTAGCTGAACATGGTGGTGCATGCCTGTAATCCCAGCTACTTGAGAGGCTAAGGCAGGAGAATTGCCTGAACCCAAGAAGTGAAGGTGGCAGTGAGCCGAGATCACACCATTGCACTCCAGCCTGGGCAACAAGAATGAAACTCAGACTTAAAGAAAAAAATAGAAAAATCTGCTGATAACTTAGACCATAACCATAAATTTATTGCTAAGTTATCAGCAAATTTTTCTATTTTATTACTATTATTATTTTTTGAGACAAAGTCTTGCTCTGTTGCCCAGGCTGGAGAGCAATGGCACGATCTTGGCTCACTGCAACCTCTGCCTCCTGTCAAGTGATTCTCTTGCCTCAGCCTCCCCACTAGCTGGGATTACAGGCGTGCACCACCATGCCTGGCTAATTTTTGTATTTTTAGTAGAGATGGAGTTTTACCATGTTGGCCAGGCTGTTCTTGAACTCCTGATCTCAGTTAATCCACCTGCCTCAACCTCCCAAAGTGCTGGGATTACAGGCATAAGCCACCATGACTGGTCCTGTTTTATTATTTTAGTACAATTTACTATAAGCACACATCACACTATACGTACATTTTCACATTTATTTTGATTCTTACAGCACTAACATTAATAGACTATATGCACACATCACACTACACATACATTTTCCACAGTTCTGCTTTTAAACTAAAATGTCTAAATGTCCAGCAAGGTTAGCATTGGCAGCTATTCAGTATATACTGAGTTCAGTTTCACAGTGAAAAGAACAGATGGTTTCTGTGTCATGTGTCATTGTTTCATAACTGTTTCCATTGTGGGTTCAATTCCCAATGTTCTCTTCTTTGAAACTTAAAATTTAAGTAGCAATTAAAGAAGAAAAGACCTATTAAGACATTTGGCCTAACTCCCTAATGAATAAGCTGGCACAACTTTTATCTCTTTTTAATTATTAAAAGCACATTAAAGAACTCTGGAATTTCCACGGAGACTACAACGTAAATTTTTAGTTGACATGCATTGTTAGCTCTTCATGTTAATAACCTAGATATTTAAAGTAGTACTGCACATATAACCTGAAGCAAAATAATTAATCACGCAAGAGACTCAGATACTCCTGAAAATAGGATTTAGCTAATGAAATAGAAAGAAAAAAAAACCCTAAAAGCAAAAGATGGTGGGCATTAAGTAGACAGGGTCTTCCTTGGACTAGAACAACCTAGCAATGCCATATTTGAAGTGGTTTGAGGAACTGGGCCTGCGTGTTCATTTGAATAAAATCAGCCAAACAGAAAGCTTTCAAGAGGAAAGACCTATAATTCTATCCTCCCCTGACTTCTCTACTCCTAACATTTTGAACACCAAAGCCTGGCACAGAACTGGAGCCCAGGCTGGGTGCGGTGGCTCACACCTATAATCCCAGCACTTTGGGAAATCAGGCGGGTGGATCACTTGAGGCCAGGAATTTGAGACCAGCCTGGCCAACATGACAAAACCCTGTCTCTACTAAAAATACAAAAATTAGGGCCAGGTGCGGTGGCTCATGCCTGTAATCCCAACACTTTGGGAGCCTAAGGCGGGTGGATCACGAGGTCAAGAGATCAAGACCATCCTGTCCAACATAGTGAAACCCTGTCTCTACTAAAAATACAAAGATTAGCTGGGCGTGGTAGTGCATGCCTGTAATCCCAGCTACTCAGCAGGCTGAGGCAGGAGAATCGCTTGAACCTGGGAGGTGGAGGTTGCAATAAGCCGAGATCAGGCCACTGTACTCCGGCATGGTGACATTGAGACTCCGTCTCAAAAAAATAAAATCCAAAAATTAGCCAGCTGTCATGGTGCATGACTGTAATCCCAAGGTACTCAGGAGGCTGAGACACAAGAATCGCTTGAATCTAGGAAGCAGAGGTTGCAGTGAGCCGAGATCACTCCAGCCTGGGTGACAGAGCCAGACTCCCTCTCAAAGAGAAAAAAAAAATAGAAGACAGAGGAAGAAGAAAGGGGAGAGAGGGAGGGAGAATTGATGACGTGGACAATGTCACGCCATTGTGACACAAAGTGCCTGCATCCTTAGGGTGGAAGTCACAGGTAGACCCCTAGAGCTGAAGAGATGCCGGGCTTGGAGGATGAAGGGTCACCGGGCCACTGAAAAAGAGTGGACAGCCAAAGTCTTCTTGACTCCATCCCAGGACTGGGGAGGCCTGACTCTACAGAAAGACTCCACCCTGGCTTCACACCCTGCCAGCTCTGGCACTTGTAGCTAGCCATGCTTCATCTCCAGATCCCTGGGTCTTTGTGTTTGGGGAACAACAAACACTGCCTACTTCATTGAGGTAGTGTCAGAACTGAGCTGAGATCATGTATGGAAAGTTATGAATACAATGCCTGAAACAGTAGTAAGGGTTTCAGTAGCTATCATCACAACTGAAGAAAGGGGGACAGGTGCAGAGAATGGGAAGGTCCTTGTGTGTGGTAAGGAGGGAGGAGGGAACAGCAGTGTGGAAACCCTATGAAAGAGACCAGTTTGGATGTCACATAGGAAATCATAGGGTATGACAGCCAGAGGACATAAAGGACAAAATGACAATGGGAGCTACTATAGAAGGGCCTGGCGCACTGCCAAGTCTGTGACATGGATTATTTATTTTATCGCATTTTCTCACCAGCCCTGGTAAGGTAGTTATCACAGACCCAAGTTCCTGTTCAGGAAACGGAAGCCCAAAGAGGTGGCTTGTCTGTAAAAAGAAATGACAGGACCAAACTGGGGCATTTGTGGGGCTCAGAACAAGAGTACAATTGGAGGCTCATATACCATATGTTTCTACATGGTTAGAAAAAACAAAATAGATGGATTTCTAAAAGTGGTATATTTAAACAATGGAATTCTAAACAGCAATAAGAAAGAACAAACTACTAATAAATATAATAAGGATAGATGGATGGATCTCAACATTATACTGAGTGAAAAAAGCCTTACATGGACTATTATTGTATAGTTCTGTTTATATGAAATTTTAGAATAGGCAACACTAATCTATGGTGGGAAAACATCAGAGTGGGCTCACCGAGGGAAGGATACAATGGAACTTTCTGGGATAATGGCAATGCTACATCTGCACAGATTACACAGGTGTGTGTATTTGTCAAATTTAACAAATGAATACCTAAGATATACATATTTCATTTGATGTAAATTTTATATCAACAAATATTGAACCCTAGTAAATTAAGTGCAGGCTTAACTATTTATAGGGAAGTACACTGATGACTGAAGTTTACTTTAAAACACATACACAGCTGGGTGTGGTAGCTCATGCCTGTAATCCCAGCACTTTGGGAGGCAGAGGCAGGAGGACTGCTTGAGCCCAGGAGTTTGAGACCAGCCTGGGCAACATAGCAATACCTTGTCTCTATAAAAAATTTAAAAATTAGCTAGGCATGGTGGCACACGCCTATGGTCCCAGCTACATGGGAGGCTGAGGCAGGAGGATCACTTGAACCCAAAGCTGCAGTGAGCTATGATTGCAACACTACACTGCAGCCTGGGTGACAGAGCAAGACCTGTCTCAGAACACACACACACACACACACACACACACACACACACACACTCTCTCTCTCTCTCTCAACGAACAGAGGAACAGAAAGATGGATAGAGTGGCTGGGTGAGTGGTGGCTCACACCTGTAATCCCAGCACTTTGGGAGGCTGAGATCGGTGGATCACTTGAAGTCAGGAGTTTGACACCAGCCTGGCCAACACGGTGAAACTCTGTCTCTACTAAAAACACAAAAATTAGCTGGGCGTGGTGGCGCATGCCTGTATTCCCAGCTACTTGGAAGGCTGAGGCAGGAGAATTGCTTGAACCTGGGAGGCAGAGGTTGCAGTAAGCTGAGATCGCGTTACTGCGCTCCAGCCTGGGAGACAGAGAGAGACTCTGTCTCAAAACAAACAAACAAAAAAGAAAGATGGATAGACCCATAAGAGAGAATAGTACCGTGTATAGGAAAGGGTAGTACAGTAACATGTTAATGGTAGAATCTAGATGCTGAGTAAACGTGTGTTCCAAAACTTCTCACAAATATGCATATTTCAAATTTTTCATAACAAAATGTCAGAAGGTTAAAAACGAAAACAAAACCAATCAACTAAACAACCTTCACCTTAGGAGAGTTGAAGCTACAGAGCTATAATTTCAAAAAAGAGCTCACTAAGTCATAAATTGTAGCGAAGGCAGCATCTTTGTGTTGGCCAGTTTGCTTTGCTGGTTGCTGAGTTACAGAGCTGTGAGGACGAAGTGAATCATTACTCTTACGTCATCTATACATCCTGCTGACCAAGAAACTAGCCCGAGAAGCACAACAGGCCAAGATGTACCCCTCACTGACCTTCTGTATACCCACAGACTGGCGAATATTCAGCTTTCTTTTTCTCTGAAAGGTATCCAAGTCCCATAATTGTGCTGTATCAGAAGAAGTAGTGATGGCATATCTCCCTGATGCATGCACAGAGATTGAAAATACTGATGATTCATGTCCTCTCATCCAGCTAACTAGCTCCTTGGTGACTGTAGTAAAAAACAAGATTGTTACCCAGGTAAAACACTATACATCTAGAAATAACACTACATATAAACACCAGAGATGAACTGATCCAGTGGGTGGTTAGGTATTACATGAGACACCTCCATTAACATCCACAAAAATGGAAGCCTGTGGCTAGCTGATGAAGTGTACAATGGGACATGTTAGCAACATCTCTATCACGGAGGCATCAGGAGACAAGGCCGACAAAGGCTTTGATGAAGAATAACCTCAAAACCGATGCTAGTGAGTTTGGGCTTTCTCTTGTGGGTAATAACTGTATGTAAAAGACATCTAGTCTGTGTTTTAGAAAGAGCACTGTGAGGATATGTGGAGAGGAAGATTTGGACATAAAGGACTTGTTTCTCTTGTATGTTTATACGCTGCTGTAACAATCCAGGTGGGAGATATGGAGGGCCTAAACTAAGAAAGTGGCAATGGAGGAAAGAACAAACTCAAGAGCTACTAAGGAGGAAAACCAAAAATATTAGTGATCAAGTTGATGTCCTGAGATATGAAAGAAGTGAAGGCTCCAGTGCTTCCAGCTCTGTTATTTAAGCAGATGGTGATACTGTTGGTGGTTGTAAGAAATACACAACGAGGGGCCAGGTGGTGGCTCATGCCTGCAATCCCAGCACTTTGGGAGGCTGAGGCAGGTAGGTCACTTCAGCCTAGGAATTTGAGACCAGCCTGGGCAACATGACAAAACTCTCTCTCTAAAAACATAAGGTAATAAAAAGTAGTAACAAATACATGAGGAGGAGCAGATTTACCAGTGTGAGCTAATGATAATACATTTGGCTTTTAAACTTGATTCTGAGGTGCTTGTGTGTACCTGTGTAAGCAGAGAAAAGAGTCTGGTAGGGAAAACACCAAAAACTATTCATGATAATTATCACTGGGAGTAAAAGTGTAGGTGATTCTTTTTTTTTTTTTGAGATGGAGTTTCGCTCGTTACCCAGGCTGGAGTGCAATGGCGCGATCTCAGCTCACTGCAACCTCCGCCTCCTGGGTTCAGGCAATTCTCCTCCCTCAGCCTCCTGAATAGCTGGGATTACAGGCACGCGCCATCGTGCCCAGCTAATTTTTTGTATTTTTAGTAGAGACGGGGTTTCACCATGTTGACCAGGATGGTCTTGATCTCTTGACCTCGTGATCCACCCGCCTCGGCCTCCCAAAGTGCAAGTGTAGGTGATTCTTATTTTCTTTTACACTTTTCTGTATTTTTCCAGGTTTTCTACAGTAGGCCTGTTTTACTTTTATGATAAGAATTTCCCCCTAAGAAAGATGGAACTTGAGAATAGTCAGAAAGCAAGATATAAATCTGGGAAACATTAAGATACAAAGTAGGTCAAAACTGAAGACAGAGAAACAGACAAATCCCTTAGGGAAACAGCGATGGTTTCCAAATACCATTCTGAAGTCTGGCATTAGTTGATGATACATTTTCCATTGGTCTTCAGTGAAACAGAAAAATACAGACAATGTAGTAGAGTTTTTCATAAAGTCGAATTTAAAGTATTAACTACCCCTTCGTCTGTATTGTCACTCCCTGTTTATGTTGAAAGAATATCCCTTGTTTTATGAAATTGTATTTTTTTCCAATGTCAACTAGCAACATTAAAAGTTGACAAGCTATGTGAGTTCTTCCACTTTTTTAATTGGTTAAAAATCCAAAAGTCAAGGAACCACTGAAAGAATGCAGGAGACATGATTAAGAAGCAGTTAGAAAGACAGGAGGGGAACCAAGGCAATAGAATGAAAACTAAAACAAAACAAAACAAACACTTTCAACATAATCTCAATTGTTGAATGCTGTAGAGAAGTAGGATGCAAGGTATAAAGATGACTTAAACAATCAGGGCTTAAGGTTACTGAGGACCTTGGAGACAGACGTCTCAGTAGCATGGGGTAAGGGAAGCAGGAGTCAGAATTCACCAATGGATACTGCGAAGAAGCAGAATTTGGCAGACAGGGGAAAGGAGGGAGACGGTATCTAAGGGAGGAGTTTTGTTGGGGGGGAGGGTTCAGTAAAGCAGAAGAAACTGTAAGAACATGGAGCAAGGAAGAAAAAGAGGAAAATATTGAAATCTCAGGAAGGGTGAGTTATAAAGACTTCGTTTTTCAGGTATTTTGTCACAGCAATGTTTGTAACACCAAAAATTGAAGACGGTTTAAAAGTCCAGCAATAGGTAATAGGTTAAAAAATTATGGTAAATGCTCACGCCTATAATCCCAGCACTTTGGGAGGCCGAGGCGGGTGGATCACAAGGTCAAGAGATGGAGACCATCCTGGCCAACACGGTGAAACCCCATCTCTACTAAAAATACAAAAAATTAGCTGGGCATGGTGGCGCGTGCCTGTAATCCCAGCTACTCAGGAGGCTGAGGCAGGAGAATTGCCTGAACCCAGGAGGCAGAGGTTGCGGTGAGCCGAGATCGCACCATTGCACTCCAGCCTGGGTAACAAGAGCAAAACTCCGTCTCAAAAAAAAAAAAAAAAAAAATTATGGTAAACATCTATACAGTGGAATGTTAGGCACTGATTTTAGATATGCTATATGAATTTTAATGCGATACAATTATCCCACAAAACAATACAGATAGGATAAGTATGCATTTGTTAGAATATTAAAAAAGTGTACACAGAGAAAACAGACTGGAAAGAGAGTCCCATCATGAAAACACTGTGTCTGTAGGCATTACTGCAGAATCGCTATTTTTTTCTTCTTTGTATGTAGGATGAGAGTGTAGTACAGTGATTAAGAGCAGTGACTCTGCAGCCAGACCACCTAGGCTTGGAATTCTGGCTCCACTGCTTATAAACTGTGGGACTCCGATTAAGTTACCCATGTGCCTCAGTTTCCTCATCTGCAAAATGAGGAAATCAGTATTCATATCTGTGGGTTATGATGATTAAAATTAATGAATGTATATAAACTCATAGAAAGTCCCTGGCAAAAAGTAAACACTATGTGTTAGCTATCACTAGCTGTGCTGTTATTATTCATACATCTGCCAAATATTATAACACATTGATTATATTAATAAGAAAAAAATACAATTGAGATCTCTTTAAGAGTAATAGGTTTAGTCTACAGAACTCTATGTTCTCAATTTAAAAACATAATGTGGTATAAAATACACAGGCTATATTAAAAAAAGATACTGTACCTGTGTGGTAAGGACTTTGACCTTTACAGAGGTCTGGCTTCTGTTTAGGCTCCTGGGAGGTAACCTCTAAACCCTTGACTTAGGAGTGTCTTTGTTATTCCTGGTGGGTCCCTCACATTATACCAGATATTTATGCTAAGAAGACTCAAAGCAGGAGATGGCCACACAACAAAGGTGTGATTAGAAGTTTGGGGCTTTGGGGGCAGGTGACATCAGACTAACTTCTTAGGAGGAGAGGAGGGCTGGAAATTGAGTCCAGCCACGTGGGGAATAATCCAATCAATCATGCCTATGCAACGGAGCCTCAGTAACAACTCTGGACACGAAAGCTTGGGTCAACTCCCTGTGTCAACAGTGCTTGGTGCAGATGGCCAGCCACGCATCAATGCTGGGAGGGTTATCTGGGAGGGCAATGCGGCCCTGAACGACAATGGAGGTTTCGCTTTCGGAAGCCTCCCAGATTCCACTCCACACGTATCTCTTCCTTAGGCTACTTATACTTTGTATCCGTTTGCTCTATTAAAACTCTCATCATTAAGTATAGTGCTTTCCTGAGTTCTGTGAGTTGTTCTAGTGAATTATCAAACCTGACAGTAGTCAGAAACCCTGACTTTGTAGTCAACTGATCTAAATAAAGTGAGGCTGCTCCTAGGACCCCCAGCTCACACCCAGTGTCTGAAGGGAGGGCAGTCATGGGGACTGCTCCCTCAAGCTGCACAGATTGGTAAACTTCTTGCAGTTCTTCAGTCTATATTTTACTCTGCTTCAAAAGAAAAATAGAACTTCTTACCTGTATCAAAACATTTAATAGAATAATCAGCTAATGCCACAAGGAATTCAGATTTCCTACGAAGATTAAAGGCCAGAGCTGTGCAAGCTTGTGCTGTTCGCTGAACAAGATTGAACCTATTAAGAGATCATTGCATTAGTATCAGAAATTCTTCCAATAATTATAAATTTCACATGGAAAGAGTCCTTAGAGATGAAGAAAATGAAACCCAGAAAAATGAGCTACCATTTTAGGCCAAAAATAGATGATGAAGGGTGCTATGTGCCATATTAAGGAGGTTGGATGTTACCAGAACAGGAAACCATTTTAAGTGTTGAGCAGAGCAGAATCACAATCAGGCATGCGTTTCAGGAACATGATCTGGCAGCAATGGCAAATGGATGGAGGGATGAGGAATAAAGATCATTAAGAAAGTTACTGCAGAAAATCTCAGCCAGAGATATGGGAGCACAAATAGGAGAGGTTTCAGAAGCCAAGCAGAGACTCTCTATGCATTAAACATGGAGTGAAGAGGGGGAATCAGGACTCACTCTTGTGTAAAATGAAGATAAGAATAGATATGAAGTTGTGATGACTAAATGCAATAATACATGTTGAGTGCTCAGTAGAGTACTGGGCACACAGCTAGAGTTTAATTTACAAAAAAATAAACTTTTGAACTTGGGCAAAAGAGGAATAAATTTGGGGCTAGGAAATAATAAATCTGCCTTTAAACATGTTGTTTAAGGTCCTGGTGAAACTAATCTAGAGTCTTGTCTGAAAAAAATAGAACGTGGGCTACATATGTAATTTAAATTTTTTCTAGGAGCCATGTTAGCAAAGTAAGAAGCAGCAGGTAAAATTAATCTTAATAATATGATATGCTTTGGCTCTGTCCCCATCCAAATCTCATCTTTAATTGTGGCTCCCATAATTCCCACCTATTGTTGAGGGATCCAGTAGGAGACAACTGAACCATGGGGACTGTTTCCCTCATACTATTCTCGTGGGAGTGAATAAGTCTCATGAAATGTGAGGGTTTTATAAGGGGAAATCCCTTTCCCTTGGTCTTCATTTCACTCTTGCTACCACCCTGTAAGAAGTGCCTTTGCCTTCCGCCATGATTGTGAGGCCTCCCCAGCTACATAGAACTGTGAGTCCATTAAACCTCTTTTTCTTTTCTTTTACTTTCTTTCATTATTATTTTTTTTGTGATGGGAGTTTCACTCTTGTTGCCCAGGCTGGAGTACAATGGTGTGATCTCAGCACACTGCAACCTCCATCTCTCAGGTTTGGGTGATTCTCTTGCCTCAACCACCCGAGTACCTGGGATGACAGGCATGCGCCACCATGCCTGGCTAATTTTTTTTTTTTTTTTGTATTTTTAGTAGAGATGGGGTTTCTCCATGTTGGTCAGGCTGGTCTCGAACTCCCAACCTCAGGTGATCTGCTCACTTCACCCCCTCAAAGTACTGAGATTATAGACGTGAGCCAGCACACCTGGCCTAAATTTCTTTTCTTATAAATTACCCAGTCTCAGCTATGTCTTTATTAGTGTGAGAACAGACTAATATACTTTATTAATTCAACATGTTTCTAAAACATTATTTCAATATTTAATCATCAGTTTAAAATTGAGATATTTTATACTCTTTATCACATTAAGTCATCAAAATCCAGTGTATATATTTTTTTAATGCAGCCCCAGCTGTTGCAACCAGTGTGTATTTTAATTTTACACATGTTTCATGTCTCAGTTTGGACCTGTCACTTTTCAAGGGCTCAAGAGTTACATGCAAGCTAGTGGCTCCTGGAGAGCCCACCTAGATTGCTAGTAGGTAGTAGTAGCAGAATTAGGTCTAAGTCAACAGCATTTACATGGCAGATGAAGCCTGAGGCTTGATGGTGATGAGATTATCAAAAAGAGTAGCTGAAATGTGGAAGTAAGCCAAAGCCAGATTGTCTGGGGAGCACAACACTGAAAGGACAGGCACTGGAAGAGGAGTCAGTAAAACAAGGGGAAAAATGATCAGAGAGGCAGAAAATTCAGCAGAGCTGTAGCATGAAGCCAAAGAAAAGAATTTCAGGGAGGATGGGAAGATAAGAGTATATAGTGTTTTAGTAAAATGAGAACTGAAAAGAGACCAATGGATTGAACAGTTAGGAAGACTCTGAGGGAGCCTAGTATAGTAGGCTTTATGATCAAGTCTGATTTTAAATCTCAGCTCTGCCACTAACTGCTCAGCTCAATGCTTTTAGTGAAGGGTGGCAGACCATGCCATCTCAGAACAGGTCACTTTGGCATAAGGATTATTTTGAGCTGAATTGAGAAAAAACAGATAAAAGAAAAGCTCTCTGCCCTTGTCTAAAAGTTTACATGAATTTGCATACATTTACAAAGGTGTCCCTCTTCCCTTCGCTACCAGAAAGGACAACGACTGATCACGGGAGAGGACTTTAGATCTTTATCACCCTGGAAATAGCACCAGAGAAACCTATATAGCTGGCCTTTAACTACCATTAGTTTCCCATAGATTTCCATTCCCACAACTTGCTGCCCCAAGAGACTCAAGGTCCTTTTCTTTTGTCTTGTCACTTCTCTAAAAATGTATTGTTCTTTAACGATGATGCTATATAAGCCAGAGTATAAGCTGCTTTTTGAGTTAGTAATACCTGGATGCTGTTACGTTACATGCATGATACAAGTTGACAACGTCTCATACCTGGATACTCTGGGTATTCTCATGTGTTACATGCACGATGCAAATTAATAACTTGTTCATTCTTCTCTTGTTAATCTGTCTTTTGTTACAAAGGCCCCAGTTGAGAATTTAGAGGGGTAGAGGGAAAATTATTTTTTCTCCTCAACAACCAATAGTGAAAAAGGGACAATAGACAAAATAGTAACACTCATGGTGCAATGTCTCAGGGGAGGCTATAGAAGATAGGGATTAGCACTGGGAGAAATTAAGATCACCTGTTTTTATGAATAAGTTAATGAGGGCCAAACATTATGAATAAGGTAATAGAGGCTGAACTTACAATATATTTGAGGCTGCAATGGGAAGGAGAAAGGAAAGCTTGCAGGTGTCCGTTTTCTCATGAATCAGGAGGCCTGGCAGTCAGAATAAGAGTAGAGTCCAAGCAAGGAGACAAGGAAATTGGTAAAGGTTTGTGACACTTGGTGGAGAATAGGAAAAGTACAGTAGATAAGCAAATAAAGTGCAAAGAATCCTTGATGTTGAAGTTCATTATTCTGTTATGAAATCAATCAACAATTATTATTTGTTTTAGGATATGAGAAAATAAACAGTGGTACTGATTTCAGATTGGGAATTGGTGAGGTAAGTGAAGCGAGAATAAAGGGTAGAAAAATTGGGCCTATTACTTTTTTGGCTAAGGGCAGAAAAAATGATTTACAGATTTTTACCTAATGAATCACAGATAAGTAAGTTACATGTCACATCTTTTCTTGAACTATTTGAGAATAAATTACCAAGATCAAGTTTGCTATAAGAAAATTCTCCTACATAATCACAATACAACCATTAGCACCAAGAAATTACATTTATACGTTACCAACATCTAATCCTAAAACTCCAACCAAATTTTGTCAGTTTTCCCAATAATGTTCTTTATAGCAAAAGGATCCGTCCAGATTCATCCCTCAGATTAGGAGTTCCTTAGTCTTTACCCAAATTCCATGACCTTGTCCCTTGTGGAGATTACAGGACAATTTTCTTATTAGATGTCCCTAATTTAGCTTTGTGTGATGACCCCACTGATTAGATTCAGGTTATATATCTTGGCAGGAATATCACAGAAATGATGCTGTGTTCTTTTCACTGCATCCTATCAGGTGGCACACAAACTTTGATTCATTCCACTACTGGTTATATCAACTTCAGTTGTTTGATTAAGGCAGCGTTTGCTACACTTCTTCATTGTATAATTACTCTTTTTTTTCCTCTATAATTAATAAGTATTTTGTGGGGAGGTACTTTGTGACTATTCAATATCCATTTTCTATTAAACTGTTTGTTGATTACAACATGAACTCACAGATTTCAATTTTATTCAATGGATGAATCTCCAATATGACCAGAGGGAGCTCCTTCAAGCTGGCAACTGTGTCTTTTTGACACATTCCAATCATTCTTTGAACAGTGCCTTCTTTCTGGCTATAAAATGTTACAGGCTCATCCTGTACTTCCCCTGTCCACATTCTGAAGTTGGCCATTTCTGCAAATATCCTTGATTCCTTTCGGTAGAAAACGGTATTTTGAAAACAGGAACTCAACTCTGGGTATATTCATTACTACTGGTGTGCTGTTGTTCCCAGGCCCTCTGCCTGTACAAAGCTAACAAATATGTGTACATATATTAGTACATACCTCTATTTAGTTCTGTATCTCTATAGATTCAAAAACAGGGGTTCAAACTGATATATCTAATTCCAATACAATACCACAGGGTTTATTCTAGTTTTCTGCCTTCCATATTTCTAAGTCTCTTTTCTAAGAATGAGAAACGTGAACCTCATTATCCCTCATAACCTATATATTCATTTGATCAAAGCCCCCTGTAATAAACTAACTTCCCATCCCTGCCCCATTACCCAGGCAGACACCCTCTGCCTCTCTTGCTGGGCTGCTGCAGCTCTCCTTCCTGTCTCACCCCACTGCATGAATATCTACCTCCATCCATCCCACCTAATTGCTTTCGGACTAAATTGTTTCACAAGGGAAGAGACGAGGAAGTAGAATGAAAATCAACTTTTTTTTTTTTTTGAGACGGAGTCTTGCTCTGTCACCCAGGCTGGAGTGCAGTGGCAGTGGTGCAATCTTGGCTCACTGCAATCTCCACCTCCTGGGTTCAAGTGATTCTCTTGTCCCGAGTAAGTGGGATTACAGGCACACACCACGTCCAGCTAATTTTTATATTTTAGTAGACATGGGGTTTCACCACGTCGGCTGGTCTTGAACTCTTGACCTCAAGTGATCCACCCGCCTTGGCCTCCCAAAGTACTGGGATTTACAGGCCTGAGCCACCATGCCCAGATGAAAATCAATTCTTTAAAATTCTTGGATCTGCACACCATAATAAAAATGTGCACAGAAAATTGCATTCTTTCTAGATTGCCTGATGATGCACCAGAAATTGATAAATTAGAATAATGGGCTGGGCACAGTGGCTCAAGCCTATAATCCCAGCACTTTGGGAGGCTGAGCTAGGCAGATCACTTGAGCTCAGAAGTTTGAGACCAGCCTGGTCAGCATGGTGAAACCCCATCTCTACTAAAAATACAAAAATTACCTGGGTGTGGTGGCAGTTGTCTAATCCCAGCTACTCAGGAGGCTAAGGCAGGCAAATCGCTGAAACCCAGAGGCAGTTTGTAGTGAGCCGAGATGGTCCCACTGCACTTCAGCCTGGGTGACAGAGTAAGGCTCTGACTGAAAAAAAAAAAAAAAAAAAAAAAAAGCAATAATGACTTTTTAAAATTTAAGAAAAAAATAAACTACTAGAGATACTTTTAAACCCAGCACTTTGATTCTCTAAAATGTGAACCATATTATCATTCTGTCCCTTCCCACTTTCTTCCTTCAGTACTTATGACAATATTTTGCAAGGTGCCTGAAATATAACAGAACTTAATAAATCTTTCTGAATGAATAATGAATAGCAGGTACTAAAACAAACAGTGAACTAATAACCTGTTAAATAAATAGATATCAAAAGTATCTGCTTACCTGTTTCCACACAAGTCAAAAACATAAATATTTCCTTGGTGGTCTCCAGCAATTAAGCAGTCGCCCGTGCCATCAAAAGCCACATTTAAAAATCGCAAAACTTTTGGACGGTAGTCAGAAGTGTTGTGAATGATGTTCACTATAATTCTGTCAAAGAAAAAAAACCCAAACATTGAATTCTATGTCAAGTATTACTTGATACTATGAAAAATACGGCAAGTAAAGCATTTTGTCTATTCCTTCTTCCCTCTCCTACTGCTACTGCTCTACACGTTTCTCCTCTAGAATCAATCTTGCCAGGATTTCAGAAAAACAGTTCAGAAGCTACTCATTACCAAAGTAGGTACTGTTCATTTATTCATCAAATACTTGAAAACTCACTGTGTCAGACACAGAACCACCCAGGTGCTAGGCATAATTGATATAGTCCCTGCTTTAATGGAAATTACAGTTTAGTAGTAAGGACAGACATTAATAAAACACACACACACATATATAAACAGATTTATAAATTGTGATTAAGTGATAAATGGTATGAGATTTTGTGTTTGTGTATGGGATGTTTCACAGTGAATTAAGTGTGCATGAGTCTTACTTTCATTTCTAATGTATCTACCGTGAATACCCTGGCAGGTGAGCTCTGTAAGGACAGGACCACTGCTTGCTCATTACTGTATTCTAACACCTGGCCTACAACACACAAAAGACACTCAAAATATGCCTACTGAATGAACAAATGCTTTAAGAAATCATTCTTTAAAACCCACATTAATCATACATCTACGTAAAAGAGTAAGAGAGTTTAGATTTTTCAACCTTTTTCTAGAGACACACATGTAATAATTATATTGGGTTTTTTTTTTTTTTTTGGTTGTTGTTGCTGTTGAGACAGAGCTTCACTCTGTTGCCCAGGCTGTGGGCAAGTGGCACGATCTTGGCTCACTGCAACCTCTGCCTCCTAGGTTCGAGGGATTCTCCTACCTCAGCCTCCTGAGTAGCTGGAATTACAGGCATATGCCACCACGCCCGGCTGCTTTTTGTTTTTTTTTTGTTTTCTGAGACGGAGTTTTGCTCGTTACCCAGGCTGGAGTGCAATGGCGTGATCTCAGCTCACCGCAACCTCCGCCTCCTGGGTTCAGGCAATTCTCCTGCCTCAGCCTCCCGAGTAGCTGGGATTACAGCCACGCGGCACCATGCCCAGCTAATTTTTTGTATTATTAGTAGAGACAGGGTTTCACCATGTTGACCAGGATGGTCTCGATCTCTCGACCTCGTGATCCACCCGCCTTGGCCTCCCAAAGTGCTGGGATTACAGGCTTGAGCCACCGCGCCCGGCCTTGCTTTTTGTATTTTTAGTAGAGACAAGGTTTCATCATGTTGGCCAGGCTGGTCCCGAACACCTGACCTCAGGTGATTCACTCGCCTTGGCCTCCCAAAGTGTTGGGATTACAGGTATGAGCCACCTTGCCCAGCCATGATTAAATTGTCAGATGAAAATGAGAACATCCTAACCTGAAGTTTTAAACACTGATACATACATACGCACACGATTAAAAGAAAAAAATAAAGAAGAAAAATCAAAAGCAACCCCGTCTCTAGAAAAATTACAAAAAACTAGCCAGGGATAGTGCATGTGCCTATGGTCCTAGCTACTCAGGAGGCTGAGGTAACAGGATCACCTGAGCCTGGAGAGGTCAAGGCTGCAGTGAGCTGTGATCACGCCACTGCACTCCTGCCTAGATGACACTGCAAGATCCTGTCTCCAAAAAAAAAAAAAAAAAAAAAAGAAAGAAAAATCTACATATAGGGAAAAAGGATGAAAGCAGCCAAATATGAATAGCAGCTGTCTGCAGGTAATAGCAATATGGTTAATTTTTTCCCCTTTCTACTTTTCAGTAGAGACGGGGCTTTACCATGTTGGCCAGACTGGTCTGGAATTCCTGATCTTTTAATCCGCCCACCTCAGCCTCCCAAAGTGCTGTTATTACAGGTGTGAGCCACAGCGCCCAGGCTAGTTTTTGGATTTTATATTAGAAACATCTAACTCCATTATAACTTCATTAAGGCATGCTAAATTGAATTAAGTGGATTAAACATTTTCTTTATGTTTATCTAAACATAAGGCTTTTTAGACTCATTAAAGGAAACAGCAAAATTCTTACAATGCTTATTTTTATCTAGTCCCCAAGGAATTAGAAACACAAAAATAAACATACAGAAATGACAAGTAATATCAAAATGTTCCATGGCAACTAAACTCAGAGCAAACAACTTTTTCCTCCAGTGTTTTTTCTATAACACTTATTATATGTTCTGACTACAAAATTACAGCCATTGTTCAAAATATGATATAGAAATACACTAAGAAATAAATTATAATCCTACCACATAGATGCAATCACCACAGCGACATTCTGCCCCTCTGATTTTTCATGTAAACCACATGTAAAAGATTTATTTTAGAGCAACTTCCTTTCAGTTTCCCACAGATTGCCTGACAGAGTTCCTCAGTTCTCAAACATAGTAAGAATATCAAATATTTACTGGGCACCAAAAGTCTAAGACAATCCTGTCAGGTAAATCTGATTATCCCACTGACAGCCTTAGTGATTAACCTGCCCAAGGTCAGAGTGGGTAAACGAACATTTACTTCAACTAAAAACATCTGACTCCAAGTCAGAGCTCTCTGCCTGTCTAACCAGCATAATCAATGGGGTTTAACACAAAGATAAGCTGTGTTCTAGTGGAAGAAGCAAACAATAAAGACATTTGGATAATGAGCCCATTTGTTTCACTTTTTGAGTCTTGCACATATATCTAGATATTTTGTACCAGCAAGAAAGAGAAGGTGAGTTGGTTGTAACTTTTAGAATGTTTAGAGAATGCCAGAGGTGGGGATAGTATTTACCCAAATCAAAATTTGAAAATGAAAAACCTGAGGAATCCCTACTTTAGACAAAATTTTTTATTTAATTTAGTTGATGAGACAGCAGCATTGATAAAGAGGACAGCAACCAGGAACCAAACTGCTGGTAAAATGTCTCACTCCGCACCTTGGATATACATAGTAGGCACATAAAGTCTGATTGGTCAAGAAGCAACCAAAGGATCGGCCCGGCGCGGTGGCTCAAGCCTGTAATCCCAGCACTTTGGGAGGCCGAGGCTGGTGGATCACAAGGTCAAGAGATCGAGACCATCCTGGTCAACATGGTGAAACCCCGTCTCTACTAAAAAATATACAAAAATTTAGCTGGACATGGTGGCGCGTGCCTGTAATCCCAGCTACTCAGGAGGCTGAGGCAGGAGAATTGCCTCAACCCAGGAGGCGGAGGTTGCCGTGAGCCGAGATCGCGCCATTGCACTCCAGCTTGGGTAACAAGCGCGAAACTCCGTCTCAGGAAAAAAAAAAAAAAAAGCAACCAAAGGATCAATAGAAAAATCACTAGAGGTCGGGCGCGGTGGCTCACACCTGTAATCCCAACACTTTGGGAGACTGAGAACAGGCGGATCAGCTGAGGCTAGGAGTTCAAGACCAGCCTGGCCAACCTGGTGAAACCCTGTCTCTACTAAATATACAAAAATTAGCAGGGCGTGGTGGCGCGCGCCGATAAGCCCCGGTACTGGGGAGGCTGAGGCAGGAGAATCGCTTTAACTCGGGAGGTGGAGGTTGCAGTGAGCCGAGATCGCGCCACTGCACTCCAGCCTGGCAACATAGCGAGACTCCGTCTCAAAAAGAAAAGAAAAGAAAAAAATCACGACTAAAACAAGAATCACACTGAAACAGGAACTCAAGCGATTTCCGTGAAATCGTAGGGAATTGGAAGCAATAAGATCACTCCGTGTGCAGAAATCGAAATCCAAATGGCACCGCTTTGGAGCAAAGGCTTCCAGGAAATCGCACAAGAGGCTGAGCCTCAAACAGGAAAGATAACCGGAATAGCATGAAATGCAGCGCTGGCCGTATTAGGAGCCCCCTGCAATGCAGAATGGACGCCCTGCCCCTAACACACAAGCCAACAGTAAACGCCAGAGAACCTAAGTGTGTTTTGCTCCATCGGCGTCCCCAGCGCTTAGAGGCGCGCTTGGCATACAGTAGGCGCTCAACAGTTGATGAATGCTTGCGCGTCTGAACACATCCAAGGATGTAAGGAGGGATAAACTGCAGTCTTTGGAAGGGGTAGTGTCCTGCTCTTCCACCCCGCATCTCCGCCTAGAGTTCTGCTCCAGTCCCAACTGTTAATACTCACTGAGCATCTACTATGTGCCAGGGACACTAGCGGGATACCGTGATCATTAAAGCAAGAGTCCTGGCACACACCAAGAGCCGCAAGTTACTAGGTCTGAGGACCACCTGCCTCCTCCTGCTCCGCGCTGTCCTGGACTAGACCCCCGCCCCGCAGAACTCAGAAGGGCGTCTCTGCGGACCCTGGCGTCCGGAGCCACCTGTTCCATCGCAGGACATCTAATCCACGGATGCGGGGCTGGGTCAGAGCCAGAACCCGGACCGCTGCCCGGCGCCCTCTCGCTGGCCTCTATTCTCTCCACAGCCCGCGCCCTCCCGCCACCGCTTTTACCCGTCCCGCGTGGCCGGGGACGGCTTGCGGTGCCATATCTTGCCACTCTCCTTGTTGCCCAGGTCCGTGCTCTGCATGGCGAAGGTCGTCCGCCACCGCCGGCGGCCCGCTGGATAACCGTCCCGACGCCTTCCCGGCAGGCCCCGCGCTCCTGGCCCGGGAAATTTGAGCACCAGACGGGGCGGCCTGGGTCCGGCATACGCCGGCCGCACCCACCCTCTTTCTACTAACAACCAATCGGAAGGCGGATTCCTTCCAAACTCCACCGAGGTTTCCCCTCCCGCTCTGGACAATGGAATCGACCAAAGACTTTCTCTTAGACTCCGCCCCTTTCTGAGCGCTGTCTTCACGCCCCCGGACCCAAAGCCTTCTGGGAATCGTAGTTTTCTGCAGGTGGATCATAGAGACGAGGTTTGGCTTGGGCGTTCTCCCCTTTGGGAGATTTATGGGGTTTTAGGCTCCCATCAGAGGCAATAAAAGTGATTTTCTCCTGTGGTTCCTGCATTCCATTCTAAATTGCTTTTAAGGATTAAGGAATTGTATAGAAATAACTAAGAGAAGCAAGGAGACAAATGCATTGAGAGTGGATGGGTTTCTTTTATAGAACTTTCGGGCTCAAAAGAAACTTACAGATGAAAAATAGTCCATGTTTCTCGACCTTTTCACCATCCTCATGGTTTTGTTTTTTCAGTTCCGTAATCTGACAAGATCTTTTGGCATTATGATGTCCAGTCCACCAATCACGGTCCAGAGAAGCAATAATATCAACAACTGGCAGCCTTGACTTTAGAGTTCCTTTGGTAAAAATTCACTTAGTGCCTCTGGAGGGCTTAGTAGGTACGGGGCACTTTTATACTTGCTTTCCGAATATATCAACTCATTTAATCCTCGTAGCAAATTCATAAGTTAGGTGGTACTAATTATCTCATTTTTAGTGCTCTATGAGGTTGTGCGTTAATTTCCTGTGGCTGCCCTCACAAATTACCAAAAACTTGGTGACATAAAAAAACATAAATATATTCTTGGGAAGTTCTTGAGTCCATACATCGGAAATCAAAGTGTCTGCAGCCTCCTTTCAGGCTCTAAGCAAGATTCTCTTACTTGTCTATTCTTCTAGGGGGTGCTGGCTTTCTTGGCTGTGATCACATCGCTCCATTCTCTGCTTCCATTTTCACACGTCTTTCTACTCTAGGACGTGTCTTTTTCTCTTCTGTTTCAAATCTCCCTCTGTTTTTCTCTTATAAGGAAACGTGTCACTGGGTCCATATGAATAATCCAGAATGATCTCTTCATCTCAAAATCCTTAATTACATCTGCAAAGACCCTTTTTCCAAATATGGTAATGGTCACAGATTTTGGGATTAGTATGTGGACATATATTTTGGGGGGGCCACAATTCATCCTATTACAGGTAAGTACTAATATTACCCACTTTTGCAGACAAGGAAACTTTAAGTCTTTCTATTTCTGGTCCTTGTGTTATTCCACAACAGAAAAATGACGTTAAAAAATTATATGGTTGTGGTATTTGAAAAGTTCCAATTCTCGATCAGAAAGACAAATTTTCAAAAAAAAATACTAATGCTGATTTTTAAACTTTATGTTGTTATCAAGGGGTGGCTTCAAAACATCAGACAACTTGTAATGACCTGCTGCAGAGGAAGCAACTGCAGCTCATCTTTATTTATTGGTTTTGAGATGGCGATAAACTACATGTACGAATGTTTGCATTATTGTTTAGGAAACTTAGAATGCTAAGCTTAAGATATGGGGCCTAACCTGAAAGAGGTTATTTCACAACATTTCTATCTCACACTGTTAACCAAACAACCTTTTTTATCAGAGGCAAAGATGAATCTGCTGAATAATTTTCTTAACTTCTCTGGCTTAACCTGTCTGCAGCTCAGCTAGTTTGGGCTGCCCCAGCCCATGTGACCATCCTATTCAATCTCAGACATGTGACAAACAGGTTTAAACGTTAAAGATCTTCTGGACTCCCACTTTGTACTTAACTTTTGATTTTGGGGTCACAATTTGAAGGTCAGGATGGAGAGATGTGTACCAACAGCTGCTAACTTTCTGCTCATTAGATCTCCCAGGTTTTACAACACCAATTGGTAGTATCTTGTGATCTAGTTCCTTTCTGAATTATTAGTCACTCAATAACAGATACATACTATATATGTATATATGTGTTTGTGTGTGTGTGTATATATATATTTGTGTGTACTTATATATATATATATTTGGACATCCAAATGAATATATGCAAATATATATACACACACATATATGTATATACTTACAACACTAATTGGTAGTCCCTTATGTTCTAGTTCCTTTCTGAACCATTAGTCACTCAATAACAGGTACATATTATTTATATATATATATATATATATATATACACACACACACATATGTATATCTATTATATATAATACACATACACATGTAAAGGTATATAAATGTAAAAGGGCATATAAATATAACTTAAATACCTATAATATATATATAAAGGTATACTATATAGTATACCTTTATATATAAAGATATACTATATACCTATTTACGTATAAATATACCTTTAGCATACAGTATGCCTTTGTAGGGTATAAAGGTATACTATTTGTATGTACTTTTATATGTATTTATAAAGGTTTATTGTATGAACCTTTATAAATATATATATACATATACATATATATATATATATATTTTTTTTTTTTGAGATGGAATCTTGCTCTGCTGCCCAGTCTGGAGGGCAGTGGCGTGATCTTAGCTCACTGCATCCTCCACCTCCTGGGTTCAAGTGATTCTCCTGCCTCAGACTCCCAAATAGCTGAAATTCTAGACTTGCACCACCACGCCCAGCTAATTTTTGTATTTTTTTTTAGTAGAGAGGGGGTTTCACCATGTTAGCCAGGCTGGTCTTGAGCTCCTGACCTCAAATGATCCACCTGCCTCAGCCTCTCAAAGTGCTGGGATTACAAGCATGAGCCACTGTGCCCAGCCTATATGTATTTATATGTCTGTGTATATATAAATAATATATACCTTTATATGTATTTATGCACACATAAATAGTATGAACTATATAAATAGTATGTACATGTATACATACAAATATGTACCTGTTATTGAGTGACTAATGATTCAGAAAGGAACTCCAGCAGAAGGGCCTACCAATTAGTGTTGTAAGTATGTACATATAAACAGTTTTACTGAGAAATAATTGACATTCAATAAGTTTACATATGTAAAGTGTACAATTTTGTAAGTTTTTACATAACTAACCCCCCCATGAAACCATCACCATAATCAATGAACATATCCATCATCCCTAAAAGTTTCCTCATTTCTCTTTGTAATCTTCCTCTACTCCCACCCCACTTTGCTAATAAGCAACCACTGATCTGTCTTCCTTTCTTTAGTTAACATTTTCTAGAAATTTACATAAATGGATTAATAGACTATATGCTCTTTTTTTTTTTTTTTTTTTTTTTTTTTGGTCTACAAGGAAACTTGTCACTGGGTCCATATGAATACTCCAGGATGGTCTCTTCATCTCAAAATCCTTAACTTAATTACATCTGCAAAGACCCTTTTTCCAAATAAGGTAACAGTCACAGATTTTGGGATTAGTATGTGGATATATACTATGAGGGGGCCGCCATTCAACCTATTATAGGTAAGTAGTATTTCTTTCTTTTTTTTGAGATGGGGTCTCGCTCTGTCACCCAGGCTAGAGTTCAATGGCACGATCTCAGCTCACTTTAACCTCCACCTCCCGGGTTCACGTGATTCTCCTGCCTCAGCCTCCCGAGTAGCTGGGACTACAGCCATGTACCACCATGCCCGTCTAATTTTTGTATTTTTAGTAGAGACGAGTTTTCGTCATGTTGACCAGCTGGTCTGGAATTCCTGACCTCAAGTGATCCGCCTGACTTGGCCTCCCAGAGCGCTGGGGTTGTAGGTGTGAGCCACTGCGCCTGGCCACATTCCTTGTTCTAATTGTCCCAGAAGCTGATCTGGCCTCCTGACTTTCCTGTACATTGCCTCTTGTTTGGAAAGTAGATGGAATTGGAAGAAAAAAAAAAAGCAAGGGAAGGCTTCAGGAGGTGATGATGCATGAGCTCTGTCAGAAGGATGAGTGGAGGTTACCAAGGCAGAGGAGACATTAGGGGAGGAAATAGCATCTGTAAAAAGTCAGGAGGTTGTGAGGTGACAGGGTACCTTCCAGAAACTAGAGGAGTTCTGTTCAATTAAAGGGCAGGATGCACAAGAAGTCATTGGGCATGTACAATGCTTAGCACTTTGAAAGCCCAGTAACAGTTATTATTATTGTTTTTAGTAGCAACAAAGTTATTTCTCATCTGTTATTCCTATATGGAGAATGGCAGGGGAATAAGAGTTATGCTGAAGTCAGAATACAAAAGACCCAGGTGAAGCACAGTGGCTCATGCCTGTATGACCAGCACTTTGGGAGGCTGAGGTGGGCAGATCTCTTGAGGTCGGGAGTTCAAGACCAGCCTGGCCAACATGGTGAAACCCTGTCTCTACTCAAAATACAACCATCAGTCAGGCGTGGTGATGCACGCCTGTAATCCCAGCCCCTCAGGAGGCTGAGGAGGATAATCGCTTGAATTCTGGAGGTGGAGGTTGCAGTGAGCCAAGATCGTGCCACTGTACTGCAATCTGGGCAACAGAACAAGACTCTGTCTTTAAACAAAAGAAAAAAAATCACTAGAACAAGAAACACACTGAAACAATGTGTTTTAAAAATATTATAACTGACCTAGTCTGCCATTCTAAGGATTTTGGATTGTAATATCTGAGTGAGTTAAAAGGAAACGCCACACTGTGAATTCAAATTACGAGTCCTTTATTGAGCCGGCAACCGAGAGTCAGCTAAGCCTCAAAATCTCTCAGCCCCGCTTGATTTCCCTTTATACCTTGATTTAGGTAGGGGAGGGGGCAGCCTAGCTGAAGTGGAATTTTACAGAAGCAGAACAAGCAAGTTAGTAGGAGGAGGCTGGTAACCAGGGGGCAGGAGGTTCCCAGGATTATTGGTTGCTAAGGATATTTCCATACAATCACTAAGGGAGGTAGCAGGGGGAACTTTCCATACTATCAATCACCAAGGAAGGTATTCACAATGGCAGGTAGACTTGCCAAGCAGGGTGCGGTTACAATGGTTGCAGGTACTGTGAACAGTGTGAACCACTCTTAATGGTTTGTGGCCCAGTAATGCACCTGAGGGGCTGTGGCAGGGAGGGA